GGATAGTCGGCAACTCGGCATCAGTCTTCATCCCCCAATCTAATATAAGTCTCAGTTTAGTTAAAATTCTGCCTCTTAACACCAAATACATAAGAAAAAATAAATAAATAAATAATCTTAGGGGGCAGCCCAATTTCCAAACACGCAGTAGCCTAGTATCGGTATTATTTTGGTCCAAGTTCGCCTCCATAAGATTGTATGCTGATTTAATGGAGTAACTCCTCTTTAGGCTTCCAGATCAGTGTATCATTCTCATCATTAAATGGAATTGGAATCACACAAGTAACTCCTCTTTTGAATTTTTTTTTCTTTTTCTACATTTTTTGATCATTAGTAAAATTACTAACCATACAATTTTGCTCCTCCTGGGCTGTACTCATACTATTGCCTATAGAGGAGTTTCCAACCCAGTCAAAAGTGAATAGATTTATCATTCTCTAATTTCCATCCAATCCCCCCTTTTTTTAGGACATCCCTAAATTCTAGGCATGGTTTTCAAAACTGGACTGGATCGGACGGTTGGATCAGAAAACTGAGAATCGATCAGGTGATTAATTCTGTTTTACCCTAGAATTGTTATTTCGACAAAAACCGTTGATTTGGTCAGTAAACCACTGACCCAAGCGGTCGAATTGTTCAAACCATCCAACGGTTTTGACTGTTTTTTTATTTTTTATTAGAATGGGCTATCCGTTCGATTCAAATAGTCGGATCATTCAACCCGGGAACCGGACCCCTAACCGGTTCGTTGTACAGTTCAATTTTAAAAACCTTGATTCTAAGATACCCCTCCAAGCCCAGGAAGCATTTTTTGGGGGGTGACTTGCCAAAGATTCTCATGTTCGAAGTATTTGCTTTTCATTAGTTGCACCCAGAGATTATTCGGTTGGGTCAAGAATTTCCATCCCTTTACAATACTCACTGCATTTACCCATTGTAGATTTTTCAATCCCCATCAACCTGCAAACCGTATCCCATTTAACTAAACTGATAGCTTTTAAATCTTTACGGCTCCATAGGAACCCTCTTTGTTTTCTCTCCACTATTGATTTTGAAAGTTTAAAAGCCCTCATGAGAAATTGCAGCATCATTATTAATAGATGCTTGTAACAAAGTTGCTCTGCCTACTAAGGAGAGAGACTTTTTCTTCCATCCAACTAGTTTTTATCCACAGTCCCCTCTACTCTCACTTCAATGATTAGGGCTCCCAAGTAATTTTCCTTCTTTTTTTTTTAATAGGGATTCTTAACAAGTTGGGGAGTAGTCTTTTGATCTGTTTGTGAATATTTTGAGAGAAAAATGTCATATACATCCATAACATTTTTAATTCTCAACGTATTCTCAACATTTGCCTAGCAAAAATGAGACAGCCATCTGCAAATTGTAGAATTGGGATTGTGGGCCCATCTCTCGAGACTTTAAATCTTAGGATTTCTTTATTTCTAGCATCCTTTTTGCAGATCATTCTACATATGGCTTCACTACAAAGCACAAAAATGTATGGTGACAAAGGGTTCTCTTGCCTAATACCCCCACTAGGCTACTAGGCTTGAAGGATTTAGTTGGGTATCCATTATTTAGGGTCTGGTATGAGACTGTAGTTATACACTACATGACTCAGTTAACCCACTTATCATGGAAGCCCAATTTAGGTTTCTTCAATAAATTTCTATTCCAACCTATCATATGCTTTCTCCATATTTATTTTGCAAGCATAAGTTGTTCGCCTTTCTTTCTTTTCAATGTGTTCATCATTTCATGGGCAACCTAAATGTTGTCAGTTATTTGTCTTCCTAACACAATCACTCTAGTACATATATATGTATGTATATATCTATCTATCTATATATATATATATATATATATTCATCGATCAGTCTTCTATGATACATTTAAACATACACACGCATATACATTACATATATCTCCACTTGTCATGGATATTATATGGTTCATGTATTGCATGGGTGTGATTGATCAGTAATAGCTATAGCTGGAGATAATTGAAACTAATGAAGCTCAGCAAGGAGCAAGAACAAGGACAATTCGACATCAAGACAGATCAAGAAAGAATTTTGGAGTAGCATTATGACTTGTGAGGTGGAATTTATAGGGTTTCCAGTATACCCATTTCAAATTATCCTGTTAGAAACTCATTTGTTCTGTTTTCCATGCCTGAGGATTAAGGACAACTTGCTTGGGCTTGGAGCCAACAGCGGTCCATACAGCAAAGCTTCTGAGGGAAGTAAGGTTTCTTCTTCTGTGCCAATTAAAATTCAGAATTCATGGGCTTTTCCGCGTTTCTCTGAACAATAATAAAATCCGAGACTCATGGAATTGACAAACCCCGTAGGTTGAATATTGTAATTTCCTTGAACGAGAACCAGATCAACCATTCATAACTTAAGCATATTTATTTAGTCAATTTTGTAATCCTCAAACCTTTTTAATTAAGTGTAGTGATGATAACTTTTTAATTAACTCTTTCCAGACTGATTTATCTAATGTTTTTAAAACTGGACTGGATCGGACCGTCGGACCAGAAAAATTAGGAATCAATTATCTGATTGGTTTTGTTTTACCCTAAAACCGTTATTTAACCAAAAATCATTGATTTGGTTAACGAATTATTAAACCAGACAGTCGAGCCATTCAACCCGGGAATGATTTTTGACCTTTTTGGGTTTTTTAGTTTTTTTTTTATTTTTTTATTAGAACAAACTGTCCATTCAAACCAAACGATCGGGCTATTTAACCTGAAAACCGGATTCAAAACGGTTTCCTGTCAAATCCGATTTTAAAAACCTTGATTGAGATTTGGGACCATGCATGGATCCAGAAAACACTTACACTCTGAGAGACTCCTTCCTTCCCTTGTTATTTGTCAGCACTACTTTAATGGGCTTTCGGAATACATTGTTTGCAACCTTGAAAAGATGTTGAAATGAAATTATCAGCTCTCTCTCTCTCTCTCTCACTCTCTCTCTTAATTTCAGAATCACCGGCAGAAGTTGTGTATCCGTGGATTGTGGCAAGATGTTGACTAAACTAAACCCACTCTGTAAAATATCCTTAATATGACTGAGTCTTGATGATGATGAGCATCCGTTTTTCATCTTGCTGCTAGCGCGCGCAGTAGTAATGTTTAAAAAACTTAAAATATAATAATCTAGAGAGAGATCTTAGGGTATATACCATATTTAAAAAACTTAAAATATAATAATCTAGAGAGAGATTTTAGTCTCTTGTTTGGATTGGTCATGGCAGCTTAGACTTTTGAGAGGTCTTGTCACTGAAATTTTTATTAATAAAAAAGAAAAAAAAAACACATACATATATAAAAGCAAGGAGGCCGCTCTGACCAGTGGCTTCCAATAATTACATTAGATGATATATTAAGATAAGGCGGTATGAGCTGAATTAATTACATATCCAAGCATAAGATGTCAACTTGAATTATATATACTAGATGGATGTATCCTTGAATTAGATGATAAGTAATTAATATTATTGACTTAAAATTCAACTCAACTCAGACTTAATTCCAACTAATTAGGGTTGTCATTGTGTTGTATTATTAATCGGGACAAAATCATACATCCATAACTTCCCATTAAGAATAAGGATAATTGGAGGTTTGACTTGATAGACACGATTATACTCGTCGCTATAATTATTTATATGAATAATGATTCAAATACTTGATTTTTGACGATATAATTTTAATAAAAATGATGATAAAATCATGGTTTTGAAAACTAAATCAGACCGGATGATTGGATCGGTTAATCTGAAAATCAATGGTCAAAGTAGTTTCATCTCCGGTGTGGTTTTCAAAATCATGGGTAAAATAGTAAATTATTTATCTGTTAATAAATCAAGCGTTTTTAACTAAAGATATGTTATATATATATATATATATATATATATATATATATATATTATTTATCAAATTTATCATTTTAGATATAAAATATAATAAATACAAAAAAACTAGGAAATGTTAATAAACAAACAAGAACCAGAACTAAAGCAGTGGAAGGGTGCCATGTGATGATGCTAATTTTTGGGAGCCATTTCAGCATTCAATGCATCATAAGGACAGTTGTATGGCCTTCTAGCTTAAGTAACTTCTTATGTGTGGGTTGTCTTGATATATGTGCAGCATGTCTACCCTATCCTTTAATTTGCTATTAATAAAATGATTAATCTCTTAAAAAAGATGCAGTTAACAACTTATTCTTTAGGCTGTGTTTGGTTGGATTGCAAATAAATTTGCACTGATGCAAAATCATGACAGTGCAAATGGTTTGAGCGTAAATTCTGACTTATTTTTGTTTTAAATTTTAACTCATTTTGTTTGATTGCAGTACGAAGTAAATTAAGACATGAAGCAGAATAAAACAAATTTAAACAAGAAGAGAGGATAATGAGATAGATTAGATTATTAACTGTAAATTTTCAGTTAAAAATGTAACCTTATTGGATTGTGCAGAAATGTTATTTAATCTTGTTTATTTCTCAGGTTGATGATATGAAACAGAAGGCTACGCATTAATTCCTCAAATTGAAGCGACTCCTAGACATGTGCACACTTCTAAATAAAGCAGAGAGGCTGATGAGAAGCAAAGTAAGTAGTGGCTGAGGTTTGCCCAAGTCGATCGGCTTTGAAATCTCAGGAATAGATTGCAGACAGCTGATAGATGCCCTTCCATAGACATACAATAAAATGCTCAATTCTGAATATGCAAAGGGAAGATCTCTACGTGCTTCGATCTCTTATATATTAATTCTATTTTACAGATTCAAACAAAACCATTCTGATCATTGGAGAGATCTGACCGCCCCACCAAAAGAAAATATTAAATGGTTATATGGTGGATAGATGGAAATATTAACAAAAAAGAAATGAAACTTCCTCTCTCTTTCTCTCTCTCTCTCTCTCTTGATACCCTTCTACCAGGGAAAGGGAACCATGCATGAGATTTTCTATATAAGGAGCACTGGGTCTGGTCATGTTAATTATCATTGTAGCAGAGGCTGAAAACGACCTTCGGTTCTCTTACTTGAGAAGAGAAAGGGAGAAGTGGGTTGTGGGCTTAAGAAAGATGAGGACCAACTTCCTTCTCTTGGTCTGTCTAACAATAATTTTCTGTGTTTCTGGAGTTTGTCAAGGCGGTGGCCTAAGGAAAAACTTCTACAAGCATAGCTGCCCCGGTGCAGAGGACACCATTAAGAACATCATTTGGAAGAATGTTGCTGCTGATTCTGGTCTGCCTGCAGACCTCCTCAGGATGCATTTCCACGATTGCTTTGTTAGGGTACGTAATACTACTTATTACGAGTAGCCAAACCTCAGTTTTGCTTAATTGCTTCTTTCTTCTGAGTAGAGTTGGCTGCTTTAAAACTAACTATTGCTGCTGCATGCAGGGTTGCGATGGTTCAGTGTTATTGGATTCCCCGAATAAGACAGCTGAGAAAGACTCAATTCCAAACCTAACTTTGGAAGGTTTCGATGTTATTGATGAGGTGAAGGCTGCAGTTGAGAAACTCTGCCCTGGAGTTGTTTCTTGTGCTGATATACTTGCTTTGACTGCTAGAGATGCTGTTGCATTCCAAGTGAGTTATTGATTGACTACTCAACACCCATGCATTCATTCTCTTTAATTCCTTCTGTAATTCTACATCAACTGATGCGATCGATGGCGTGGGGAATGATCCATGTTGCTTTCTCATGTTAACCAATTTGCAGTTCAAGAAGCCTCTGTGGGAGGTGCTTACCGGTAGAAGAGATGGGAGGGTGTCAAGAAAATCTGACGCTGACGCCAACATTCCTTCACCCTTCTCCAACTTCACCACTCTTAAGCAAAATTTTGCTGCCAAAGGGCTCACTGTCCATGACCTTGTGGTCTTATCAGGTCTGTATATATATATGTCTAAGCAATCAGTTAATTAATTACCCTGTAATTGCAGTTTAATTAAAATTAATGGAGTTCACCTCAGTCCTCACCATAAAAGTGGGGGCCACACACTGAAAAACCAACTCGAACCAAAACCACTTTGGCTATCAGTTTCCGGGTCAACAGTTTGACCATCTGGGTCGAATGGGTTAATGGTTCGACCACCCGGGTTAGCAGGTTGCTGACCAAGTCGATCAACAGTTTTTTGACAAGGGATCGATTCAAGGGGTGAAACAGAACCGATTCTCTGAACTGTTTTCAAGCCAAACGATCCGACCACCCGGGTCAATTACGGTTCGAAAACCATGTTCCTAATATAATTAATGCATCCCATATGGGTTTTGTTTAGGGGCTCATACCATTGGACAAGGACACTGCAATCTGTTCAGCAACAGGCTCTACAACTTCACAGGCAAAGGGGATGCAGACCCTTCTTTAGACCCAAGCTATGCTGCCTTCTTGAGAACACAATGTCGTAGCCTTGCAGATAACACAACCAAGGTAGCCATGGACCCCCGGAGTGATGAATCTTTCGACAACCACTACTTTGTAAGCCTGAAACAACACAAAGGTCTCTTCCAATCTGATGCTGCCCTCCTCACCACAAAGATCTCAAGCAATATTGTGAATGAATTGATCAACTCAAGAAAGTTCTTTACGGAATTCGCCCAGTCAATTAAGAAGATGGGAGCCATTGAAGTCCTTACTGGTACTAATGGAGAGATCAGAAAGAAATGTAATGCTGTCAACTAGACCTCTTGATTACTTTCTCTATCGTTTTGGATGAGTGGTTGTTTGAGTTCGTTGGATGCATGTGTCAACGTTGAATAAGATGGTTTAATTTCTTTCCACCTGTCAACTTATATTATTATTCCTTTGAACTATATATTATAGTTTAGCCCTCCACATGCAAGGCTGATAAAGAGTTTCATAATCTTAATCTTTTGCTGATTTTTTGAAAATCTATAAATTAATTTATAATTACTTATTATCACAAAATCTATAAACTATATACTATAGTTTGGCTGGCCACGCGCATCCAGTTGTACATTGGGAATATCGGTGATATAAAGTACAACCAATGTTCCCGAGCGGCAGGATGTGTATCACTGTGTTATTGCTTACTGCATAGTCCTATTTTCACGATTCATGGTTTCTTGTGCATGCAACGTCACAGATTTGGATTGTCTCCAATCCAGCCTGAGGGTCCATTTGATTTACAATTGGAATCGGAATAGTCTATTCCCATAATCTCTTTAATTCAGACGAAATTAGAATGAGAATTGGAATAGCTGTAATGGAATTTTGTTCCAAAAGAAGGGAAGGGAATGACCATACCCTCAAATGGGAGAATGCTATTCCACCAGTAATAGGAATGGGATTTCAATTCCGTCCAACTATTCCAGACCCCTATTCCTACAAACCAAATGGGCCCAAATTTTTAACGGTTAGACTCCACAAAAGTAATAGGAACCAGGCATAGGGGTGAAACTTGGGTGGGCCCAGCCCAAGCTCAAACCAGCCTAGTCCGAAATTTTACACTGGCTGGGCTTGGATTCTCGGTCCTTGGGCTGGGTTTGGGCCCAAGAATTCAGGCTTTTTTATTTTTTGGGCCAGGTTCGGGCCTAGTCCTTAGGTAGTCTAAACCCAGCCCAACTATACGCATTCATACATAGATATGTATATATGTAAATTTTTCATACATATTTACATATATACATATTTGCATAAATACATATATACATGTATAGAGTGGGTTCATTGGCCAACCTAAGCCCGAGCCCAAACCAAGTGCATCAAATTACAATGCAAGCCAGGCTTGGATTGGATTGGGAAGATCGAGCTTGGACTTGGGCCTTAAGCAAACATTTTATGGTCGAGCCCAAGTTGACCATAAACCCGGCCCAACCCATCCGACTTGCACCCCTAAACCGGGTGGTCCAGGCCAATGCTAGGAATGGCAATGGGGCGGGGGTCATATTCCCCATCCCCGACCCCGATTCTGAAATTAACCCCCTGTCCCCGATCCCCATCGAGGATAAAATTTATCCTCCATCCCCAATCCCCAATGGAGATGGGTTCCATGCGGGGGACTCAAATCTCCGGATTTTTTTTTAAATAACAGTTTTTTGAAAAAATAAATTTATTTAAAATAAATAAAAATTTTAAATTTTAAATATGCTTTGATATATAAATATAATCAGGGTCAAGGCGGTGTGGGGACATCAATACCATTGTTCGATTGCCATCCCTAACCAATACCATTGTTCGATTGGTTGTAGATTAGAGTCTCTAATTTATTGAGAAATCTCATAGTATATTCAAACTTTAAGGTGAATAATACAGACAAGATTATGAAGTACTTTGTAGATCTCTTTTATGTATGTAGTATAATAAATAAAAGAAAAACAGAACAGAAAGTTGAAGAAAAATTCTTAATAAATTTGATTAGGGTCCATTTGGTTACTAAGAATGAGACGAGAAAAGGAGAATATTTCTCAATATTCATTTTTTTCTGTTTGTTTTGCAGTAATATACGAGAAAGAGTGGGATTTTGAATCCCAAAATGGAAGATGTGGCACCACACCAACATGGTATGAGTATGACTCAGTGGAAGAAAGAAAATTGAGGGATACTGGTGAGCAGGGGTGGAGCCAAGTATATTGGTGTGGGGCTCTCCCTAATAAAAAATTTTGTTAAAACCATTATTTATATGCTTACTAAGTGAAGGCAGAATAAAAAACGCAATAAAGTGGGTCCTTCTCCCCCCCCCCCAAAAAAAAAAATAAAAAAAAAAAGACTTGAACTAACATCCAAAGGATCACTCTCTAACCTTCCTCCCACTCCCAAAATTAAAAGAAAAAAAAATATGTAATAAATCCAAACCTTTTCAAGCCATTTTTCTCAAAACCTTACATCTTTTATTCCTTATCTCATTTTCTTGTTTAACTTACTCCCACCAAAAAAAAATCCTGACTCTACCACTGCTGGTGAGACAGCTTATCAAGCCCTGTCAAAGCTCTACTTTCTTCCTGCATTAGACCATCAACTTCCTTCTCCAACAATTGAATCTTGAATGTCAATTTTCGCTGTTTTCGGCCAAATAAAGGTAAAATTCGCGACCTCCGACCATTTGCCCTCTATTTTCCGCCAAGGAGGGATAAGAACGGCCACCTTGGTTGGCATGGATTTTGGTAACAAATGGCTGGTTTCCAACATGGTTTTGAATCCTCTGGTCATCGATATCAATTGCAAACATCAAATAACCAAAGATTAATCAATGAACCGATTATTGTGGTAATGGAGAAAGATATCGAGGTCCTTCCCAGAGTCACTGTAAATCATCTCTTCCTTGCACAATCTGAGGCTTTCAAGGCGACTTTTCTCAGCTTGCAAGAAAAAAAAAAAAAAAAAAACGAAGCAAAACAAAACAAAACAAAACTCAAGCTCAACATTGCAATCCTTTAGGCTGTTGTAGCTCAAGGAGGAAGGGTTAACGGTATGTTGTAGTGGAGCATAGGCGGCTCCTAATGCTGCATGGGTGGTTGTCAGCTATCGAGCAGCTCGAATTGAAAGATGCATCTCTCTCAAAGAACCATTCAACCTAAAAGCTTAAACTATTAAGTGAGGTCTTTGGATAAGTTTTATTTTCTAACATGCCCCCTCACATGAAAGCCCATTGGGCTTGAAGTGTGAACAAGCAGAAGCCCACCCATACCCTGTGCCGAAACTTAATTAATAATAATGGGGGCAAAGTATCCTACCAGTCATGTAGGATATGCTCGGTATCAAACTGCACTGATACGGGATACACTACGACTATAGATGTATCCTACCAGTCATGCATATCAATTTGATATGCCACCATATCAACGTGTATCACATAGTATCAGCTGATACAAAAGCGTATCTACCATTGTTTCAACTAATGACACAAATCTCGCAATAAAAAAACGAGAGTAACATGACTCAAACCCACATTGATCAATACACACCCAATGCTCAGGCACACATCAACCACAAAGCCATTTGTTATTTCATGTTACTAAGTGTAATAAAATAACTTTTATTAAACTTAATGTTTACATGCAAACAAAAAACAACATATATTTATTTTCAAAAACTTCAACTATAAATTAAAAAGAACAATATTCATAATTAGTATTTTATAAATAAATAGAATAAATAATTTATAAAATCCACACACACACACACACATATATATATATATTATAATATATATATATATATCAAAAATGAATTTTAATTTTAAAAATTTATACAAATAAAATATTCACAATAGAATAATATTTTAATACTTACAATTTATAAATTTGCATATGGTATATATCTTAAATTTTTATAAATTGTTAATTAATATTTTAATTTAAATTAAATAACAATGTATTTATTATTTACAAAAATAAAAGTATTGTTTACAAAGTATTTGAAAATATAATACAAATTGAATCTATCAAATCCATTAATCTACATTTTTTTGGTAATAATCTACATTTTATATAAAAAAATAATTTTTAACTTCGAAATTTTATAAAAATAAAATATTAATCATGGAATAATTATTTTGGTATTTAAAATTTATGAATTTTCATATGATATGCATTTTAAAAATTTTAATAGATTTGATATATTTTAAGTTAAGATTATATATTTTTATAAATTATTAATTGATATTTTAATTTACATTTTATAATAACATATTTATTGTTTACAAAAATATAAATATTATTTATCAAACATTTAAGAATTAATTTTTTAATTGAATTTTTTGTTAATGTTAAAAAATAAAAATAGAAAAATAGAAAAGTGATATAATAATTCAAATATAATAGTTGCATGTGCTTTATGCCTTACACTTTAATAGATAATAAAATAATATTAGTTTTTTGTATATATCAATTTGTAAAAATCTATATAATATTTGCCTTGGACTCTTGGTTGATGCATTATTAATAAAATTGTATAATATCTACATGTCCTGCTATATTAATTATAATATATTTCTTCATATGTGTGTGTATATATATATATCATTTAAATAAGCAATTCCTATGTATTTATATATTATTTATAGTTGTTTTGATATTAAACTTAATTATATTAATATATTTATAGAATTTATGTGCATTTTCTTAACGTATCCAAACGTTTCCATATTTTTACATTCGTATCCATACGTTTCCTAAGTGTATTCGTAAACAAATTATCTGATATAATACCCCATACCGATACTTTAATCCTTGAATGAGGGTAATGAAAATTGAACACTAGAATACTTGGTCAAAGTGATTGACTTGAATAGGTTTTATTCTCTAACAGCATCATCTATCTGCAGCGATTGAGGGTCATGTTACCGAAGCTGACATTGGACTATCTGATGTAGTTGTTTCCTTTGAAGACAGGGAAGTACAATACTTGAGGAAGGTAATCCTTGACCAGGCAGAGATTTTTGACGCCGTGTTGGAATATTCAGAAGCAAGTTAAGTGGTCCGACCCCTATGGTTCTGGTTTGGCAATTACTGTGAACACTGAAGAGGTGGGTCCGGGTTATTCCGAAACTTTTGGTACAGAAGAATGTTCAGATAGCACAGTTGAAAGCTTTGAAAGAGGGTCTGAAGGAGGGTAATGGGAGTGGTGTTGTTTCTCATCTTCGTTTTCTTCATATAGATAATGGTGGTCTGGACACCATTGCTGAAACGTACATCACCATGTTTACAGGTTACATTAATTTGGAATAGAATAAGCCAACAATAGGCTTTTTCATGACTTTCTGAAATTTTTCTTAAAAACAAACAAGGTCAAAGTTAATTTTCACACATAATTGGGAAATGAATCATGATACACCATCGTATCCTTTCTCATCCCATCCTTTCCCAGCCTAATTTTCTTGGGAACCAAACAGACCCTAAAATTCCATAAGAACTTTTACTCAAAGTTCTGTTTCTCTCTTATAGAGCCCACAACCCACCATTATAAAGGCCTATTTCTGGAGATAGCCATACTCAAACTCAAGGACCAACCTAACTTGATGATCAGAATCAGCAGAGTAGCACATGTCCAACACATCTTCGTTGAGGCATGGCCAAGAAAGTGTCTTCTGTCTGCCTCCCCTTATCGGTGAACAATATCTTCCAGGAAGTTTATAATCAGACAATTGCCCTCAGATTGAAGATACATCCTAGAGATGATAATGAGATTCAAGTGCATGGTTCACATGCATTGATACAGACAACAGACACTAGCTTCTATTGTAACTAGTTCAAAGAACATACAGGAAAGAGGGTCACAATCTCCGGACGCATTTTGGTAGCACTAACACAAGGCCTTGAGATCGGATTCAGTCCTCACAAAATGGTGCTCACACCATAGCCATTTGCAGCTGTGGATTGGGAATATCTCCCCATGAATAAAAACATACAAGTAAGAGATATTCCCAATACACGGTTGCAAGTGGCTGTGAGGGTGGTGTGAGTGGCAATTTGTGAGGACTGAATCCAAGTTCTTCTGAGAATTGAGTTGGAATTTGATTCAGTAGCTAATTACGGATCATACTATATATGACCATAAGTAATGCATGTAAACGGCATATATAGAACTATCTCACCAAAACAGTCCGACAAAAACCCCTTCCAAGGCAAGTCAGTTTGTGGCTTTATTACCAAAACCGCATTTATTATTTAAGATAAGCAAAACAGAGAGGAAAAACCAGCTTGTCAGTCTGTTGATACTGTAATAAATATGTCACATTACAGATATGGTATGGTCCCTAACCAAAAGTATGCACACAAGACTTCTGGTTCATGCATATGGATGATGTCTGTGGCGATCCTTCTCCCGGGATGAATATGAGGAGCTGTGGTAGTCACTACGATCTAAAAAAGGAGCAGTCTCAGAAGCTAGACATTCTTTTACCATCCGGAAGAATATATGATGCACTTTAGAGACAATGAAAGAACTTAAATGCATACCTCAAGATGAATAATTCCTTGATTTATCAGAATGCCCTCCTGCATCCATGTATGACAGGAAACAAGTCAAGGATATGCAGGAGGAAATAAAACTGAAAAATTCCAGAAAATGATAAGATCTTTTTCATAATAAATATATAGAAGAAAACAAAGGACATCCGCAGAGAAACCTGAGTCTTTTCCTTTGTCCTTGGAATGATGGCTTCTCTCCTTAAGTTTATCCCTATCCCTCTCTACATCCTTCTCTCGTTCACGTTCCCTGTCAGAGTCCCTCCCCCTATCACGATCACGGTCTCGGGTCTTTTGTCTTTCCCTCTCTCTCTCCCTGTTCCTTTCTCCACCCACCTCTTGTCTGTATTCGGTCTTAGGCTTTGAAGGGGGTTCTTCTCTAACCTCTCGCTCAATTAGGATGCTCTTACCATCATCATCACTCTTCTTGGACTCCTTTAGTTTGTCAAGGACCACTTTTATCAAAGCATCCTTGGACCCACTGGAGTCTGCATTTGGTGCTGCAGACACTTTGGGGATAGCAGTGTCATTATTAGCTGCTGCACCATTTGGAGTACCTTCCTAAGCAAAGCAGCATTAACAAACTAGTTAATTGGATGATGTGCCATTAGCTTTAAAAAAAAAAACATAATTTCAGAAGGAAATAGCATATAATGTGCCTTTATGGTAGTCAGTAATAAAAGAAACTTTACCTTTGGAATTTGTTGAGCTTGTGGATCCCATGTTTTACTTGAGGTTGTGAAGGAGTCTCCATCTTTGCATACGGGTATGTACTGTGCCTTGGGAAGGCTGTAAAGGTGTGCCAAGACTCTGCAGACTTCATCAATCCCAGATTTCTCAGCATCAAAAGCTTTCCACCATGGTGGGTTCTCGGGAAGTGATACCTGGAACCTGCGAGCAGCTGCATACACAACACCACAGGCCACAACCTCACTTTTGAATCGAACACACAACGTTGTACGCAAACTGCACAATAAATGAGACATATATAAGAACTAAAAAGATGTAGCAGCACCCACATTAATGTGTCTTCCAAAAGACTCTAGACAAGTAACCGATCATAAACCTCTCAACTTCACCATGACAAATAACTAACCACAGAACTGACAATGCAAACAAGCTACTATATACCAATAAAAGAATTAAGATAACAGGAATAACACAGATCAGCAAACAATTTGGCAGATCAACAATCTAAACAAGAGGTAAATAGTGATCAGCCATTCTGGGGACTGGTGAGACAAGAGATGTAGTTAGAAAGTATGGGTTTTGTGACAAATGCCATCCTAAAAAGAGATGCTTGGTATGTTTTTGCATATACCATTTTTCCAGTATCTAATAAAATTTAACAGTTATCAATCAAAAATAGAAGTAGCAAACTAATCAAACATATCAAAATCAATTGACGAAGATAATAGATGAAAGAAGATATAACAAGAATGGAAATAATCAGATTCTCAAAATGCAAGTACAGAGAAGCCATTAGTAAGGATAAAGACACATTGAAAACCAAGACAGGCTAATCAGTAAGGGGACAACAAGACCATGTAAGTGTGCTTTCTACAAAAAACAAGAAAACAAAAATAAAATACCATCTGTTTCTCTCATGCCGTTGTACTTTAAGAATCTGGAAACATTTTGCTGTTTAAATCCTCAACAAGAATAATGGATACCAGCCAATCTCGCAGGAACAGGAATAATTGCAGAGATAAAACAGGTCTCTTTTAACACCAATATGAAACTGAACAGAGCAGAATGGTGGAACAAGATCCATGTAGCTAACAACCCCATATATCTGATACATGACTTTGTTGAGTTGAGTTGAGGCAAGCACATGGGAGTTGACAGAGATGGTATCATGCATTCATGTTTCCATTGAGAAACCTATATTCATTTCTAAACTTTTTAGTATAGCAGGTTTGGATCCTTGATCCCTTCTCAACTTTTCTGAGGGAAAAATAATAAAAGACAAAATCAAATGAATAAGTGCTTAATTTTCCCATGCCAATATATGAACTCTAATCAAGAAAGTTCACAGACCAGAGGCAGGAATTCAGTCTTCCAAAACAGAACCATATTGTCACCATGTTGCCATCTGTAACAGAGGCCTACGGCCTACCTCACATAAGCAGAGATAACAAGCCATGCAGGTTCATTGTATAACATAGAACACCATCATGGTATCACATAGAAAACCAATGGGTTCTCCATATAATAAGAGATTCTTTTTTTTTTTTTTGATAAATCATATAATAAGAGATTGTGGCTATCTGTTTGATCATTTCTGTAAAGTTCATCTTGCATAAACACCCAAAGAAAAGAAAGAGAAGAGGATGGGGATAGTCAGGTACCTTATGTATCAAATTCAGCATGTTAAGAAGGCAAAGACATGTCTTTGTAGTATGAACCCCGAAGATTTAAGGATGATGGTATGATATGCAATTTTACAGATGCTTCTTTCATAGATCACGTTATATGGGAAAGCCCAGGGTCACTGGAAAGTAAAGGGACATCAAAAACTTCAGATATTCTGTGTCAATTCATACACAAGTGCAAACAAATGGCTCTAGGAATTCCTATCCAGAAAAGTTTTAATTTTGGTTTCAAGCTAAGGTTTTTACCTGGTTTGAAAATATAAACCAAAATTACACTAAAGTTTCGAAAAACTTTCAAATTTTGTAGCAAAATAGAGTTAAATTAAATCATCTTTTGAACTTTCTATTCTTGTTTATTATCTAGTCTTTTCTGTCTGTTTTCCTATTTCTTCTCTTCTGCTCACCTCTATTATTTCATTCCCATATTCCTGATTCTACTCCGAACTTCTTTATTGTTCTCTATTTCATTAGAACTCCATTATTCTACTCAAATTTTACTGTGATAACCCTCAAAACCATAATAAAATCCCAAAATTCCATGAAAGAGAACATCAGAGTTTTAAACCATGCCATCCAGGCATCCAGGTACATGGCTTCTCTCTTATCTATTTGCATGTACAGACTACAGAGATCTTGCAAATGGTCCTTTAACATCTAGTAGCATAAAGCCTTAGTAGATCATACTAAAGGTGAAAATCATGCACTATAATACTAAACAAAAGTTCTAAAATGCCACATCCTTTTAGTTTTTTTCCCTTCCCCAATTATTAGAAATTTATTACACATTCCTAAGACCTTTTAAGTTGTTGTACATGTAAACATAGAGGTTTCTCATTACCAAGAAGCATTTCAGAAGGTATGCAATTTATGCACCATCAAGAAAAAATATAGCAAATGGTATCTAAACTTCATGCTCTCAAATCATTATAAATTTCAATATGCTATATAGAAATGTCACATTAAAAGCTTAAACTAAGTATTAGAACTAAGTTAATAACCACAGAGTAAACAACTAAAGGTTGCTAGTTAGATTAATAAAAAAGAAAAGAGGGGGCCCATCCAGATAAGCACCTGTCATTTGCTAGATTCCAAGCTTCTTGCCTCAACTCTGGAGGTGTTTCAAGAGTAGCAAGGTAGTTTGATATAAACTTATGAGGGTGTTCAACATGGCAGATGAAACCCATCTCCTTCAATAGGTGCCTATCTGTTCTGTTCAAATCCATCTTCAACTCTGAATATTTCTGTAAGGAGAAAAAATATTCAGATAAAAATAACTTACTCTACAAAGAAGTCATATCAGGAATTCCACAAGTATAAGTGCCAATGGCAGTATTAATATCAACCAAATTCTGCACAAAAACTAATAGCCAGAAATCAGAATTGTTACCAATACTGATAGAGGGGGAGGGAAAGATATGTTACAGAATTATGAATATAGAAAACAAAAGATACAAAAAAGGTGTCTGTAGTTCAGAAGATTTTTTTTTAATCAGTAATAGATAAACAAAAACTTACAAGGTTTGTTCAGCCTAACCTTAGAAAAGATCTCCAAATGTTCTATGGGTAAATTCTCCCTCCTGCACTCCATTCTATGGAATACAATGAGAACCTGCTTTGCTTTTCTAGGGCTTTCTTCCAGCTTTGAAGCAAGCCAAACACAGCTAGCAGCAACCCTCTGCATGGAAGTAAAATCAGATCCTAGAAGGTAAAATCTCAAAGAGGAAAGACTGGATAAATATTCTGTAGACAAAAGGTTTTTTTCAAAAAGGAAGGACGAAAAAAACATCAACAATGACAAAACTATATATTAGGATAAGAGTCAGATGATTAGACCTTCACATTGAAACGGGCAAATGACTTCTTACAGTAGAAACGATGAAATAGAACCTGCCCTGTAGCCATTACTGCTGGAGGCCTGTGAATGTGTTTTGAGGAAATAAAAACAAGCAGATAGGAAAAGGGATACAAAAACAAAGAAAACATAGACTCAAGAAATCAGCAGAAAAATAAATAAAGGATACAATTTGAGTAAAATGCCGCTTTCCTGGATTAGATCACAGCCATATATTCGAAGGGTTGTTTCAGTTGCTTCATCTATGCCATCTTTCCTAGAAGGTGAGTTCTTCAATTGCTCATCCGTCAAGTAAAAAGTATCAATTGCTGTGTAAGTCATTATCAAGAAAAGACCTCAAAAGGCTCAAATGAACTGCTGCAGAAAAAGAAATCTAAATTTCAGACATTGAGAATGATACAGAAAAGAATGAATATGAATTTGAGTCCACTACATAGTTTCTACTCTAGCATCTCTAAACTCTAATACTCAACTTTCAACAATCTGAACCGAGATTATAAAACCCAACAGAAGATCAAGAAAACTTAAAAAAAAAAGGCGTATCATGATTTTGGTAGTTATAACATCATGGGAAAAGGCACCTAAAAAAGGAATCATAGGTTCAGTATTTATTGATTAAGGCCTAATTGAACCTACAAGTCTGCAATCTTAAGGCTCAGCTTGGAAGGAGTACAAATACAAATATGTAGAGTGCAAAACCCTGTATTTTATATTATTTTGTATGTATTTGCACTGTGTATATTTGTATTTGTACTCTTTCCAAACTGAGCCTAAAGGGGAAAAAGTGAAAACATGATAATGATCACATGCAGTGAAGCAGAGTGGGAGAAGAAGAGAAACAGAACAATAGACTAAAGAGAGGTATATTTGCCCCTTGAACGGTTCAATATTATTGGCTAGATGAGACTGGTAATTGGTCAGTAGAGTTTGGCAGACTTAGAACTGTTCCTTGAACCTGTATTCTACAAGTCTCTAAAGGATAAAAGTTTAGAGGACTGCTAGGCCATCTGGTGTATAACCAACCAATATTATTTTGATGTAGAATTGTAAAAAAAAAAAAATATTAGTGATTCCTGGCATTTTTTACCTAAATAGTTGAAAAGAATGCAAGGGCTCTTTCATAAGTGTTGTAAATTAGATCATCTCCAGGACCCCAAAAATGGTTCAGGTAGAAACCCCAGTAGATCCCTAGAAACTATTTCTTCATCTATCCTTGAGGTGTACAACTAACTGCCTTCTAAAGCGGTGACATAAGAATGTAATCTGTATATAATTGGAGAGAAAGTGTTAGTAGTTCCATAGAAAACATGTATGTGGCCTTCTAATAGAAAGTTAGAAACTAAAAGGAAGATCCCAAGCATTTAAGATGAAAGCTTGTTTGCTCTTCCCACCACAGTGTAGTTTGCATTGTAGCTGCCAAAAATGGAGCTTCAAGAAGTAACCCATAGTGTTTTCATAGCATCTTTTTCTTAGGCAGTAGTTTATCTTTTAGTGTTCATCACTACATTATCGTGGTGGAGGTGCCAGTAGTTGCCCCATAGTTGCAACTCTGTACAAGAAATTCTCAATGCTCTTAACCTATAGGTGATCAAATAATAACGGAAAGAAAAAGAATAATGAGTTTACATCGACCCAAACTGATTATTTGTCAATGTGTCATCAGTTGCATAAAGCTTCATTTTCAAAGATGGAGTAATGAATCATAAGAAGTCTTTGTCCACACTCCACAAAGTAGAAAGTACCTAAGAGAAGACCATCCTCCAGAGCAATTCCATTGAGAATTTTGTTTTAAAAATATTTCACCATACCTTAATATTGATCCATGTCTAGGTGATATCAGCATGGTAGAACCAGGCCCTCCCAGCGACTGCCAGGAGGATGAGCAGACCAACCAAACGCACAGTGCTTCTTTCCTAAATCTCATTTTGGGGACCTTAATAGAATGGGCGTCCTGGACAAAAGAAAGGAGCATGGCCGCACAGGCAACTATAAGTGGCAGGTTTCATAGTACTAGTGAGAATTATGTTAAGAGAGTAAGTTGGGATGAGAAGTTAATGAGAGATGCTCAGAGTAGATGGAATCCAAGGTTGTCTTTAAACCGGAGCTGTTGAGCCGTTGGCAGTCTTCAGTGAAAGATGAGGAAGCAATCCTGCCATTATGGTTAATGGTTTCCAAAAGTGGGTGAACATTGATAAAATAGGAGGATGCGCCTTCTGCTGACCTGCTAGCAGCTAGGGGTTCCAAGAGAACTACGGTTCCTCGGAATGCAACAGGCAAAAATGCAATTTTTTTTATCAAAATGGCAAGCAAACTAGGAGAGTAAGTAGGTGTTTGCTTCTTCTATTAACGAAACCAAGCTACAGGAAAACCGAGTTCAGATAACATGCTAAAAGAAAAATAAGGTAAAAAAACAAAAATCTACTTGAAACCCATTTACTGGGTTAGATTAACTTTATAAAGAGAAATTGAGATTTTAAGAACGCAATCACACCCCAAATTTTCAGCAGCTCAGCCCTAGAATGCCAACATGTAATCGTCCATTAAGAACATAGAAGTTTATTAGTTGTTTTACCTCTAGGTTGCTGCTGATACTGAAGAAGCTTTGATTTACTGAATTTCCTTCAGTTTTTCTTTCTTCTCCTTTTCGCTTCGATAGAGAGAGAATAAGAAAAAAAAAAAAGTAAATTACAGAGACCCCTTTGTTATGGATTTGTGGGTCAGTGACTATTACGCTTAACTTTTATTTTCGACAAATACCCCTCAACTTTCACTTTGCACAAATACCCCTCCTTAGATTTCCGTCAACAAGATTCTCATCCAAATTATTTAAATTTTTTTATATCCCCAAATTATCCTTTTTCTTACTTTGAACGATTTATGATTGAATTAATTTTCTAAATATAATATTAGAAGTCCTCTTGTTCATGGTTGCTCTAATGGCACGGCACTAGATTCAATATTCAAATGAAATGGTAGAGGTTTATTTCCGTAGATATAAATTTAAGGTTTTATTTGGTTTTTTTCTTAATTTATTAGAGAAATGAATAGATAATTTTTATACTTTAAGATGAAGAGACATTCGTAATATAAATTTAAGATTTTATTTGGTTTTTTCTTGATTTATTAGAGAAATGAGTTTATACTTTAAGATGAAGAGACATTCGTAACAGTGAAATGAAACAAGAACTTAAAGAAACTTGTTTTTGTATATCATTGGAGTGATTTTTGTTGTGTTAGTTGGTTTCTTACTTCATTACGAGAACATGGAGGTATTTTTACGGTCAATTAGGGTTTAAGAAAAAAGGGCGAAAAAAAGAAATAAGGAAATTCTATGTGGATACTTTGGCAATTTAACACATTCAATCATTTGACTTAATGGCATAGGGATATTTATAAGAATGGAAATTTTCCCTACCCATGTCAAGTACTCGACGTCCTCAACCTAGTAGGGATGGAAATGGAGACTATATTGGAGGTGATGGGGACAAAGATGGGGATTAATGGGGATACTTGATTGAAGAAGACAGGAAGTGAAGTCCCACCTTGGCCCCACTCTAGCTATATATGTATATATATATATATATATATATATATAATTATAGAAAATAATATATATAATAAAATATTATAATTCTTAATTTTTTAAATATCAAATAAAAATATTTTTATATATGATTTTTTATTTTTATAAAACATTTTTTCTCAAAATCGAGATCAAGCTTATGAATTTTTGACTTGAGCCGAGCTCGAGCTCGAGCCTTGTAGAATAGTCTTGAGCTGAGCTCGAGCCTCTTACTATTCGGATCAGCTCGGCTCGAATCCACCCATATTATATTATATTATATTATATTATATATATATATATATGTGTGTGTGTGTGTGTGTATGTATGTATGTATGTATTATATTAAACATATAATATTATTTATGTTATTTATTACTTATATTATGTATATAAAAATATATTTAAAATATTGTTTTATTTTAACGTTTTCTTTATTTAAATAAATATTTTCTCAAAAATATATATTTAATTAAAAACTTTGAGGATTTTTTTTTGGTCGAAAAAGAAAAAAATTCAACTAGCAACAAACTAATTACATAGAGAGAGGGGGAGTCAACCAATTTGCTACCCACAGAGGAAGGGCTTCTATGTAAAGGTCAAAGTCTGTGAGGCCCTTTTTTGCAAGGTTGTGGGCTGGTAAATTGGCCTCCCTCCTTGTGAAAGAGAAAGAAACATTTAAGTTTTTATAGTCCTCCAAGATATTTTTACAATAGAAAAATAGCTTCAGAGACTTCATTTAAGTTCTTTGCGTTCAGCGCCTAGACCAGGGAATTGCAATCACTCTCAATCACAAAAGGACCTTTGTTTAATAGCTTCCCTAGTTTCACTCCTTGAAAGCATGCGATAGCTTCTGCTTGGATAGATGAGATTGAAATTGACTGGCCAAAAGAGATGCCTTCTATGAGGCCCAAGTGGTCTCTAGCTATTGCACCAAAACCTACTTTTCCATCACCCAAAAAACTACCATCCACATTTATCTTTAGAAAAGTTCAGAACTGGAGGTTGCCGCAAAAAATCTGAAGCGGCAGCTTTAGGTACTTGCAAAGTACCTAGCCATCTTTTCTGCAAAGTCCTCTTCCTCTCCTTCCAGGCTCTGTTAAGATAGAGAAGATTTTTAAAGGGGTTAGGCAATTCTTCATCAAAAACAAATTTATTCCTACATTACTAGATAGTCCAAAGAATAAGAGTTGTGTAACTTAAAAGATCTTCTTTTTTGTCCTTCCTCTGGCTACATAGACTAGTCCACTCCAGGAACCAGCTGGTGAAATCATTCGAAACATTCTCTATTCTGAGGTTCAAAATTGACCTGAACCACAGAAACTTGGCATGATCACATTTAAACAAGGCATGCATAATTGATTTGGGTTCCTTGGTCCAGATGGGGCAAAGATTGGATTGAGATAACTTTTTACTAGCTAGGTTCACACTAACAACAATTGAATTCCAAAGACATCTCCATATGAAGTGTTTAATTTTCAAAGCTCCTTCCAAGGATCTCTATTTTGGGTGCTGCTATTATTAACCAGATGGCTAGTGGGAAGGATTGGAGTTCAAATCTTTCTCTGCTTGCTAAAAAGTATGCTGACTTGACAGTGAATTTCCTAAAAGAATTTCCTTTCCAGGTTAGCCTATCCTCCCAGTTTCTTGAAGCTAGAGGAATTTTTTTTTATTTGGATTTCTATTTCTTTTGTGAAAGAAGCCTCCAAGATAGAAAAGTTCCAACACCTTCTTTCCTAATCTATTAGGTCTTTGACCCACATTGGCCCATTGTTACTTGGATTTGGTCCTATTAATCGAAATTCTGGTAAACCCTTTAACCAAGGATCACTGTAGATGCTAATATACTCTCCTGAATTTACCTTCCAGAAAGCTCCTTGTTTCAAGATTTCCTTTCCTGCTAGAATGCTTTGCCATCCCCAAGAACCTCTGTGAGGGAATTCATCATTTAGAAAATTTTTTCCTTTGATGTATTTTGCCCTGATGACTTGACACCATAGGTTGTTTTCTTCTATACAAATCCTCCAAGCCTGTTTGGCTAGGAGGGCCTTGTTGAAACATTGTGGATCTTTAAAGACCAACCCTCCATCATTTTTATTTCTGCTAATAGTTTTCCAACTGACCCAATTGACTTTCTTTTTATCCCAAAATCCCCACCAAAATTTCCTTTGGATTTTTGCCATGTCTTCACAGACAATCTTGGGAATTAGGAAGCATGACATGGTGTAGTTTGGTATGCCCGCAACCACTAATTTTAACAGTACTTCCTTTCCTCCATTTGAAAGGAGGAGTTCATGCCATTTGGATGTTTTGGATTTGATTCTTCCTAGCAAGTAGTCAAATAGGACCCTTTTTGATCTGCCAATACCTAGGTGCTCTACCTTTTTGATGTTTAGTCTTATAGTCATTATCTTTTGCAATCTTGGGTGAAAATTCCTGCTAAAGGAAACCTCTGATTTTGAAAAGTTTACCTGTTGACCAAAAGACCTTTCATACAACTATATTGCTTCCATCGGATATTGACTTTCAGATGGTTTTGCCCTCGTGAAGAGGTAGCTGTCATCTGCAAGAAAAAGGTGGGATATTACTGGGCATTCCCTGTTTAGCTTCACTCCATAAATTTTCTTCTACAAAACAAGGTGATGAAGGTAAGCAGAAAGTGCTTCAAACACAAAAAGGAACAAATATGGGGACAATGGGTCTCCTTGTCTGAGTCCCCTTTCTGGATAGAAAGGTTTACCAGGTACTCCATTTACAAGAATCTGGTTTGACACTGTTGAAATGCATTCTAGGATCTAACCCATTTGTCCCCAAAGCCCAACTTCTTTAGCACTTTCTCTAAGAAAACCCATTCCACTCTGTCATAAGCCTTGCTCATGTCAAGTTTAATTGCCATCCAGGCCTTTTTTCCCCCTACATATTTTCATGTAGTCAATTATTTCATGGGCAATGAGAATGTTGTCATGAATTTGTCTACTTGGGATGAAATTACTCTAATTCTCACTAATAATTTTTGGAAGAGAGGTTTCAATCTATTGACTAAGATCTTTGCTATTATTTTGTAGCTGGTTGAGGATTTGGGTCCTCAATGAGGAACTAGTCTTTGTCGGGGGCCAAGGATGGATGCTAAATTTTTCCCTAGTGAGGGACAAGGTTAGGGACGGGGATTAATTTAAAAGTCAGAACTAGGAATAAAGAGTATGGCCTTTGCCCCAAATCCATCTGCCATTCCTAAGTATTTGTAGCAAAGTGAAAATTCAGAGGGTCTTTGTGGAAGATGAAAGTTTAAGGGTATCCTATTGTCCATGGTGATTTTGGTAAAAAATGAAAGTTAAGGGGTATAGTAATTAAGAAATGAGGCCTTTATAATTTACCAAAAATGAAAAAGAATAAGAAAAGGGTAAAATACAAAAAATCTCCCCTGAAACTTCTAACAATAATAAAAATAGGGGCAGAGCCAAGGGGGGACCCAAGGGTGCCATGGCCCCCCCTATGGTCCAGAAATCTCCACACATAGTACATTTTTTCATGTTAGTTTCTTTCCTCCCCCACTTTCCACCCAATGGTTGGCATCTTGCCCCCCTATGGCCCATCCATAAGTTTTGGCCCCGTTGTAAAAAAATTCCTGTCTCTGCCCCTGAATAAAAACCTCTCATTTAGTTTCATTTTAACAAATACCTCCTGATGAGGGCGGATTCAGCCCTCTAGTGAAATTGTGACACCTGGCACCTCATGCAAACCAAGTGCAGCCTCTTGACAACTGGGCAGCTCGGCAGAGCTTGCCACAGCTTGCCACTTACAGGCGGCTCGGCATGGCTCGCCATAGGCAGCTTGGCAGAGCTCGCCACAAGCAGCTCAGCATAGCTCGGAGAGCTCGGCATAGCTCTCCCCCAGGCAGCTCGCCACTTGCAAGGTAGCTCGGTACAAGGTAGCTCGCGGAAGAGCAGTTCGGCATATCACAGGAAGATCTCCTACCTAACATCCGTATCTGCCGGATCTGGTGGCAGCGCCCACATCTCTTGCCAGGCGGCATCGTGTCTACCGTCTTTGAAAAGCATGGCACGCCTGACGAGTCTGTACCCTACAGCAGCAGCATGCACTTGCCACCTCAGTCTTGGCAGTAACAGCTAAGGCAATGGTGGTTATGCCTGATGTGATAGGGCACCGCTATATAAGGACTCCGACCCCCAAAGACAAGGGGAAGAGGGTGAAAAATGGAGGTAATCCCTGCTCTCTAGCTCTCTCATTTCTCTTCAAGTTCTCTACAATCAGAGTGCTAACTTAGGCATCGGAGAGTCCCCGCCGGGTAAATACCCCCAAGCCCCCTGGTTCAGTTCTCGCAGGTCCCTCAGCTCCCGCCGCCTACAAAGAGGAGAAAAAGATGGAGTTCTCGCAGGTCCCTCAGCTCCCGCCACCTACAAAGGAGAGAATATCACTTCATGCAGAGGACAGTCAGGTTGCACTACACCAGGGAGCTCCACCATCCTTTGAGTTACAGGCCACCTAGGAGTAGGTCAAATGACAAGTCCACCAAGGTAGCTCACCACCAGGGAGCTCGGCATAGCTCTCCCCAGCTCGACATAGCTCTCCCCCAGGTAGTTCGCCACCAGGGAGTTCCACCGTCCTCTCCTGGGAGCAGGTCAAACGACGAGATACTTAGCCAAAAAAAAATTGATACATCACAAAAAATTGGTACGTGACCAGAAACGGTTACATCACCTCCCTTGAACTTTTTAAAAATTTGTCAAAAACCTCCATTCCATCATTGACTTAGACGGAAAGCATATATAATTATGAAAGTACCCCTGATTATTGTCATTAAAATACCAAAAGTGCCCTCATTTGGCCCATCCAAAAGTGCCCTCAGTTTGGAAGGAATACAAATGTAAATATGTAGAGTGCAAAACCTTGCATTTTATATTATTTTGTTAATATTTGCGCTGTACATATTTCAATGTTGGAATTAGGGAAATGCAAAGAAGCCAAAAAGGAATTGAGCAACTTGGGCAGTAAATAATTTTATCCTTGTGGGCATTGGGTTTCAGCGATCAAAGCTTATTTTCAGGCGAGCAGGACTATGAAAAAACTTTAGTTATTGGGCCCAACAATCTATGCTATTGAGAGAATTTCTAGAAATGCCATGTTACCATGAATGGATAAATTAATAATTACATCTTAATTTATTTTGTTTAAAAACCAAAGCATGGGCGTGAATAGGTGAACTGCCCAGAACGTGCCTAACCCAGAAACTGTCTCAAAAGCCTATGTTGTTGGGCCCAACAGCCAAAGTTAACTCGTCTCTATTTTTTTTTTTTAATGAAATCTGTGATTTACCAAAAAAATCTATAAGTTGATGGATTTATTTTTACATTCACCTACAACATTTGCTATTATTTTGATATACAAGATATAATGGAGACTGTTTGTCGGGACTCGGGAATGACTACAAACACATACAATATATCACCGTCGGTGCAATACAGATCAAAGACAACTTTTACATTTTCGTGCACACAAACAATAGAGTAAAAGACACTCAATTTCTAGCAAAAGCCCGTAGTAGAAGGTATTTTGAAATGTGAGACCCGACCCGTTCAATAATGCTGGTCAAATGACCCAAAATTATACAACCATTTTAAGAGCTTTCAAATTTTTCTATCATCAAACACCAAATGGGTCTTAATCATCATCCTCTAGAACACTCTGACGCCTCTGGATTATCACTTTGGTTCAAGGTTTTTAAAATCGAATTGAACAACGAACCGATTAGGGGTTTGGTTTTTAAGTCAAACGATCTGATCATTTGAATCAAATGGATGGCCTATTTTTGACAAAAAACAAAAAATTGGCCAAACCATTCAATGGTTCAATCATCCGGGTCAGCGATTTGCTAACCAAATCAACGGTTTTTGGAAAAATAATAGTTCTGGGTTAAAACAGAACCAGTCACTTGACTAATTCCCGGTTTTTTCGATCCAACCATCCGGTCCGGTTTTGAAAACCATGCTTTGGTTTTCTTGCTGTTTGATTGTTAATCTGTTCTGGTAATGATATAAGCTTGTCTTCAAACACTTTCACAACTATCTGACCCATTTGAGTAGCTCTCGGTAGAACGTCCTCAACTCCACGTGCCTTCTCAGGCTTCACGAAAAGCAATTCGAGCAAGCCTTTCTTGTGCTTCATATTACAAGATTTGGCTAAGTATCTTGCCGCCTCCTTTCATTTGCTTCTCTTTTGGCTTCTTCCTATGAATTCTGATACTCCAAGTTCTGTTGATTTCCAATGCCATGTTGTGCCATTAACTCTTGCATTCTTCTTTGTCCGGTAGCTTCCAATTTAGGATCAGCCACTGCTTTTTTTCTTCCTTCTCCAATCCCTTGATCTCCTCTTAGCAAGTTGAAACAATCAGAGAGGGATAATGGGATATCACTTGCATAGTGTTTAAGTCAACGTTTTAAAAAATGACCTGGAAACAGAACCATTTTGGCCATCAGATTGATGAGTCAATGGTTCGGTAGCTTGAGTCAATGGATTGTTGACTTTTTTAACGGTTTTTGGCCAAAACCGGGTTTGGGGTAAAACATAACCGATTGCTTAGACAGTTTCCAGGCTGAATGGTCCAACCGTCTGGGTCAATGGTGGTTCAAAAACCTTGGGTTTAAGCCGAGCCGATGGAGTTTAAGGATGAGAGATTGAAAGAGGAGATCCAATGCCACTTTAGGTCTAGAGACATTTTAAAATAGTATGTCAAATAATGGATAAATTCCCATTTAGTACTCTGTACTTTGGGTCTAGTACCACTTTGGTCCCTAAACTTTAAAATACAACAATTCAGTACCCAAACTTTTAAAATGTGCCGATTCGATACTTGTTGTTAACCAACCCATTAAGTGATATATGAAAAGACACAAATGCCTTTCGAGTGTCATCTAATTTTCTTTATCAACCATCTAAACATTAATAAAAAATCAATAATCCCAAATTCTTGCCTCTTCTATTCAAGAAAGTTGGTTGGGGTCATGTCTTAGTTGGTATTAAATAAGAGGCAAGGATTTGGAACTAGTCATCTTTTATCAATGTTTGGATGGTTGATAAAGAGAATTAGATGACACTCGAAGGGCATTTATGTCTTTTCAAATATCACTTAATGAGCTGGTTAACGATAGGTATTAGATTGACACGTTTTGAAAGTTTGGGTATTGAATTGTCCTATTTTAAAGTTTAAGGGACCAAAGTGACACTAGGCCCAAAGTATAGGATAGAATTTTTTCTAAAATAATTTACAAAAGGGTAGAATGGATATTTGGAAAATTTGATGCATCAATTTCCATCTAAGTAGTGATGGAAGGGAGATCTTTGTTAAGATTTTGAAAAGTTCATGAGAGCTACTCGCAAGGTTTTTAAAACCGAACCAATCAGGGGTCCAATTCTTGGGTCGAATGGTCTAACTATTCGAACTGAATGGACGACCCGTTCTGACAAAAAAAATAAATTAAAAATAAAATAAAAACCGGCCAAATGGTTCAAACAGTTCAACTACCCGAATTAGCAGTTTATTGACCCAATCAACAGTTTTTGGGGAAATAACGGTTCTGGGGTAAAACGGTAACCGGTTCTCCATTTCCGATCCGACCGTCCGGTTTTAAAAACCATGGCTATTCGTTAAAATGAAACTAAAGAAAAAAGAAAAAGAAAAAGAAAAAGTAAATTAAAAGCCCATACCGGTAAGTCGGTAACGGCCACGTATCGGTCAAAACAGATAAGCTGTATCAAGGTCTATAATCAGGAGAGTAGGATCTTTTGGTTTATGATTGTAGTATATGTGGGCCCCCTATCATCATGTCTTTCCACGTATAATGAGTCTTGCTCCTAATACTAGTTTGATCGGTTGCCAATTTTTTTTTTTTTCAAAATTTAAATGTAATCTGAACCGTCCACTTCAATTCTATTCCAGCTTGGGCTCTAACATAGTAGTCCTAGTCCCAACTCCTAAGTTCCAATTGCACAGGGAGCAGAAGCTTTAAGCAGAAGCAAAGCCGAAATTGATAAATCCAGAGAGGTTCGGAATTCTCTCTTCCTCGCAACCTCTCTCGCGCTGTAGAAAGTAAAAACAGATCAGGCGAAGATGATGATCAGAGTTCGCAGCAGAGATGGCTTGGAGCGAGTCACCGTCGACAACTCCCATATTACCGTCTCTGGCTTCAAGACCCTAATCGAGAACCAGCTCAGAGTTCCTGTCCCCAACCAGACCCTCTCCACCAACCAGAATTTGCTCCTCGCCAAAACCCTAGACGACCGGAACCGCTTCACTGATATGTCTAACCCCCAATCCCCGATTTCTTCTATCGGAATCTCCCACGGTTCTATTATTTATCTCGCTTACGAGGGCGAACGATCCGTCGCCGGACCGGCCATCCACCAGGCCGGTTCGTTCGGGAAGAAGATGACCATGGACGATCTCATTGCCAAGCAAATGAGGATTACCCGCCAGGAAAATCCGCACTGCGATTCCGTCTCCTTCGACCGGGATGCCGCTAATGCTTTCCAGCATTACGTCAACGAGACACTGGCGTTTGCTGTGAAGCGGGGAGGGTTTATGTACGGTTCGGTGTTGGACGACGGGAAGGTTGAGGTGAATTTCATCTATGAACCGCCGCAGCAGGGGACGGAGGAACATTTGATCTTGTTGAGGGACCCTGATGAGGAGAACCTAGTTGAGGCGATCGCATTGGGGTTGGGAATGCGGAGAGTAGGGTTTATATTCACGCAGACGATCGGTCAGAACAAAAAAGATTATACGATGTCGAATTCGGAGATTTTGCAGGCGGCCGAGCTTCACGGGCAGAGTGGGCTCAAGGAGTGGGTTACGGCTGTAGTTAAATTGGAAGTAAACGAAGATGGTGGTGCAGACGTCCACTTTGAAGCGTTTCAGATGAGTGATATGTGCGTTAGGTTGTTTAAGGAAGGGTGGTTCGAGACGGATTGTGGAGAAGGATTTGATCCCAAGCTCTCTCGGATGAAGAAGGATGTGATGGTCGGAGTAAAGGATACCAAGGAAGTAGACAACGATTTCTTCTTGGTAGTGGTCAAGATTATGGATCATCAGGTACCTTTTCTATCTATCAAAATTTGTTCTTTTACTTTTTGTATATATTTACCAACTCGTGCTCTGTCTTCTATTCTTTGCATTGTTGTTATATTTTGTACTGCAACTGGTTATAATCGTATGTAATAACCATATTGATGGTCGAACATACAACTTACGATCCTATAGATTATCAAATTGAAGAATCCTTTCTACCATTTTTATTTGGCTAAAGGTAAGGTAAAATTTTATTAAATCAGAGATAATAATACAAGGGGGTCCCCCCAAAATTATCTTTTGGGTCAAGACAGCATGGATTTCACGCCATTACAAATTCCAGAAATTCCCAGAACCCAACCTAGCCCCCAATTGGGTGGTCTGAAACCCCTTGACAGCCGAGACCCAAGACAGGAGTTTTCCAAAGACAAAAGCAATAAGATCTTCTGAGTCTTTGCAAGTGTTGCAGAAAATCCTTTTGTTTCTCTCTGTCCATATAGAGCTAATAACAGCAGCCGGAATGGTCTCCCAGATGCTTCTTGCAAGCTTTGACAGTCCCTGCAGCTCCCAGCAATTCAGAAGCTTCTTCACACTGGCATGACCCAGCTAATACCCAGTGCTGAAAGAAAGTGATTCCAGATTTTTGTTGAGACAGAGCAGTGGATACATAGATGGCTGCTGTCTTCTTGATTTTGCCCACATAGCACACAAGTTAATTCCTGGATGTGCATACCTCTTTTAAGCAAATGTGTTTTAGTTAAACATCTGTCTAAAGAAGCAGCTCAAGCTAAAGCTTTAACCTTTGAGGGGTCTACAGAATTCCAAACTTTAGCAGCCAGAAAATCCATTGGACTGAGATTAGACAAATGTCTAACAAAAGATCTGATAGAGAAATGGCCATCCGATCTCCAACTCCATACCCAACTATCCTCCTTAAGCCGATCCAGGGGCTGGAGGGAAATCAGCTCCAGAAGCTCGGTGAAGCTTTCAATCTCTCAGTCTTGAAAATTCCTTCTGAAGGAAGGGTACCAGATCACAGAGCCTTCATTAATTTCATAACAATCCCAAATTATCAAAAAAAAAAAATTTCATAACAATCCCAGATAAATGCATCCTAGGATTCTGCAATCTGGAAAAGCTGTGGGAATTGATCTGAGAGAGTGGATTGCCCACAACAAGGATCCTTCCAAAAAAGCAATCTATCCCCTTTCCCCAGCTTGGGTCTCAATCCTCTGCTAAAGAAAGGAAGAATATCTATGATTTTTTTTCCAAATTGAACAGCCAAAAGAATTGGAATTGTCCACCATTCTTTTCTTTCCATTCCAAACCTCCAGATCCATTTCCCGAGGAGAGCAGTATTGAAATCCCTTACTTTTCTGATACCCAACCCTCCTTTATCTATTGGTAAACACACCTGCTCCCAGCTTACCAAGTGAACTTTCTTCTTATCCTCCCACCCTCTCCACAGAAATTCCCTTGCAACTTCTCAATTCTTTGGGCTATTTTCCCTGGGATAGGAAAAAGAGAAAGATGAAAAGCTGGAAGATTAGTCAGAGAACTTTTCAGAAGTGTAATTCTTCCTCCTAAGGATAAATGCTTAGCCTTCCAAGAAGCCAATTTCTTTTCCAAACGCTCCAGAACTGGTTCCCATATCAAAGCAGTACATTTAGTTCCTAAGGGGAGCCCCAAATACTTAGCTGGTAAGTACCCCACTTGATAAGCTAGCCATTCTGCTAAATGCTCAATATTTTCCACCTTTCCCACCGGGAACAAACTGCTTTTGTTCCATTTTACCTTCAAACCTGATACTACTTTAAACCAACTGAGCACCTTGGCCAAAATCTCCATTTGATCCTCCTTTGCTTCTACAAAACATAGGGTATCATCTGCAAATTGTAAGACTTGCACCCTTTCCCCACCTGGAATCACCTCAAATCCTTTCCATAGGTCCTCCTCCCCCACTTGATGTAGCGCAATCCGGTCGGTCCTAGCTGTCAACGACCTTGCCTCTGACTGGAGCAACAGGTGCCTGAAACGGGGAAGAAGGCGAGGAGTCTCCGGGGAGGAACCCGGTGAGAGTGCTCCGAAGCTCAAGTTAGTATTTCCTCAAAGGCAAGATCCAAACCAGATAGCGCAAAGTTATCACGTACCTCTATTCTCGGGGGGAAGAGGGCCTTCTATAACCACTTCGCGCACTCACTCCCAAGCTTCTGTCAGGTCGGGTATCATTACCTCTGCACTTCTGCCAGTTCGGGTGTCGTCACCTCTGCACTTCTGCCAGTTCGGGTGCTGTCACCTCTGTTGGGGCAAGCAACCGCCACTGCTCTCTTTGTTGGAGCTGTCTCTGTAACTGGAGGTGGTGGTGGCAGGTGGTCGTTGAAGTGCGGCTGTCAAGCGTCAAATCTCAAGTCAGTCTGGTGCGCCACCTCAGGATACGGACTCTGGTGTTAGGTACGGTGGTTCAGTTCGGTGGCCAGGAGACGAAGTGCCGGAGTGGTGCACGAGGTAAAGTCTTGAGTTCGGATAGGAGTGTGGCCCGAACTGCCCTGGGGTGGGCCAGTTTGGGTTGTGGCCCTTTGTGCTCCTCGCAAGGGGAGAGTTCGGGCTTCTTTTGGGGAGCTCGGGTCATAGGTCCCTCTCGGGGGAGCTCGGGATTCCTCTTCTTGGAGCTCGCGCCTTGAGCACTGCCGTGTCGAGCTGTCGTTCCTGCCAGGTCACCCTTGGCTGCTTCCACGTGTCGGGTGGTCAAGAGGTCGGGCCAAATTTACCTCCATCACCACTGATTGTCCATTAACCAGAATAGAAAATTTAGGAGAGGTAATACAGACTTGTATCCAATTCCTCCATTTCTGATCAAAATTCATCATCTCTAGAACAAAATCCAAGCATCTCCAATTAACATTGTCATAAGCCTTTTTCCAAATCCAGCTTATAGATCACACCTGTAGAACCCTCTCTTTGCTTAGAATCAATTAATTCATTTGCTACCAGACACTATCCAGCATTTGGCACCCTGGTGCAAACGCAAACTGATTTTGAGAAATCACATAAGCAAGGAGCTTTTTCATTCTCTCAGCTAAGACTTTGGCCAGGATTTTGTAGAAACTACTTAGTAAACTTATTGGTCTGAAGTCCTTAGTTGCTCCTTCAATTTTCGGGATCAAAGTGATGAATGTGGCATTCAGACTCCTTTCAAGAGGTGCATTCCTATGAAAATCTTGGAAAAACTGCATCACAACAGCCTTTATCACATCCCAACAGCTTATCACATCACAACAGCCTTAATCTTGGTGAGCCCATCTGGACTTGGGGATTTCTCTATCTCCAAGTTTTTTATTACTTGCCAGATTTCTTTTTCCAAGAAAGGAACCTCTAACAGACTCTTCTGCACTTCAGAGATTTTTTTTTTTGAAATTTGATCCCATAGGCAACGGTCTTCTTTTCCATTTTTCTTTAAATAAACCTGAGAAGAAATCAATTACCAATTTCTTTATCCCCAGCCCAGTTTCTTCACTTACCCTCTCAAACTCTAGCCTTTCAATTATGTTTACTCTAAATCTTGCCTTTGCCATCTTATGAAGAAAACTGGAGTTTTTATCCCCAGCCTTAAGCCATTTCACCTTTGCCCTTTGCCTCCACTTCAACTCACCTCTATAGGCCAGTTTTATCCAAATGTAGTTTTGATTCCTGCCTCTTAATCTTTTCTATCTGAGAGAAGGGGCCCTTCTCTTCAGCTAAATCAATTTCTTTAACAACCTCTGGACAACTTTTCTTTTCTGCCTCTGATTTCCTCCACCTCTCTTTCTTCCAGGTTTTCATTGCCCCAATTAAAGCTCCCAATTTCTTGGCTAAATAAGAACTTGTTCCCTATACCTGAGTATTCATCCAAGTAGTTTTTAAGAAGGGGAGGAAGCCTTCTTCCTCAAAAGTCAAACCAGGCATGTTCCAACTTAAATGGATATTTTCTATAACCAAATACACCACACCTGAGCTGAATAGGAGAATGATCCGATACTGGTCTAGGCAAAGCCTCCTGGATTAAATTCTGGAACAGCAATTCCTATTCCGTGTTTACCAGAAATCTGTCCAACTTAACCAACGCTGGAGATTCTTGGTTGTTCGTCCAAGTGAACTGAGCCCCAAACAGTGGTAAATCCAATAGATCGTGCTGGTTGACAAAATCAGCAAACCTCCTCATTTCCCTTACCCCTCTTCTGCCCCCATTTCTCTCTAAAAATCTTGTGACATTAAAGTCACCTCCCAAGTCCCAACACCCATGATAGGGTGGAAGCACCTTTTGCCTCAACCAGATCCTCCCAAAGTCTACTTTCTCTCCGCTTCTGAGGGACCATAAACATTAGTGAATAAGCTCCTTACCCCTCTGTCCATTTCTAACACCACCAACACTGAAAAAGCCCCAACATGATAGTCAATCAACTTGCACCTTGACCGATTCCACATTGTTATCAGCCCCCCCACCATTCCTCTTGCTGGTTTACTTAACCACCTAACTTCCCCTTGGCCCCAAATGCTTCTAATTACTTCTGCTTCCACCACTTCCAACTGCGATTCCTGAAGGAACACCATATCAGAATCCCATCTTTTCAAAAAATCGCACACAACCATTCTTCTCTCCGACCCCAAGCCCCTCACATTCCAAGATAAAATTTTCAGTTCCATAATCCTAATAACGCAAAGAACCCCCTAAACCCCTGCCCTTTCCTTTCCTCCTAACCTTTCCCCCCCTTCCCTTACTGCACCCTCCCCTTTGCCTGCCCTATCATTTAAACCCCAAGACAGATGAAGTATTTCCATGTTTTTCTTCATCAAATTCCCCCTTTTTTGCATTCATTCTTCCTCTCTCAAACATAACTCTTTTCTCTATCAACTCCAAAAATTTAATGGTTTCTTCTTCCATTCCTGCTTTCAAAAAATCCCAGAAATTTTCCCAGTCCCAACAATTTTGAATTTACCCCACGAGGAGGTTGGTCCCATCTCCTTTTCACCCTCTACTCCTTCCTCCCCTTTTGAATTCCCTTCATCCACCTCCTTTCCCACCCTCTTTTGTCCCTTCCTTCCCCTTTGAACATTACATACCTGTTTATCAAAGTTTTCAGCCGGAGGTAGCATTGGCAGTGTGATCATCTCCCTTTCTTCGACTATTTCCAATGGGGTAATCTCCTCTGGTTCGGACTCTTCTGATGATAGATCTTTCTCTGTTTCCACCAATCCTCCCCATCCCTCTCCCAAAGGTCGCCTAGGCATTGAACACTCAGCTATACTGGTAAGATGGACATCTGCACGAAGCTGTTTGTTTCCCCCCAACCCTGGCTCCCCCTCTTTCCCGAGTTCTACTTGACCTTTCTCCCTGCCGGGAGTAGCCGCCTTCGTCCTGCTTGTCCCTTCTGAGTTCCAATCCCCCAATGCCCTTCTCACCACTAGTCCTGTCTGAAATTGGGTAGGCATAGGTTGCTTGCAATTTCCTCTTGGGTCGCCCGAGCCCCACAAACCCGCGCCGCTATTCCCATTGCTCCCCTCCGGGTCAAATTCCTTTGGCCCGCCATCTTGACCCTGCCTGAATCCTTTCCTCCCTTCTGCTTGTGGGTCTCTCACCTTCTGACCCCCAATATTTGGGTCCCTTTCCAACTCCTTCAAACACTCCAAAATAGCTTTTTTTTTTTTTTTTCTTTTTAATTCCTCTCTTGGGATGTCCATCTTAGACTAGGTTTCGCTTGAATTTTATGTACTGGGATCCATGGTTCAAAGTTTCAATCACCTTTGTGTAGGTAGGGTGTATTGGTACTTCAATCCATGTGCCTTTTATTTTTTTAGTTTATTTTTCAAATTTCTGCTTTAGGAATACTTTGGTATATATAAAAAAATTGGTCCTGAAAACACCTATAAACAGGTGTATCGGGTACCCAAAGATACGATATGTATGCCCAGTTTGGGGCATCGGGCATATTGTATCAATACTTACAACTTTGCTGGGATCCTTGTATGATCTTTGGTTTAATTTTTGTTTTGTTATTACTCCTTTTTTATATCTTCTTAAATATAATTGCATTTCAAACAAGTTGTCATACTTGGGTTGGACCAGACAGTCAGAACCTTCAAACCATGAACAGCCATCCAAAACGTTTTTTGGCATGCCCTGTTATTAGAAAGGTTGACCTGGTCAAACTTACCCCTATACATGTTTAATACGCGCTACGACCTATAATATGTATTTTCTTTAAGCTTATGTTGATGTCTGGAAGTACTTACTATTTTTGCATTTTTGTTTGAATCCATTAAATGGTCAAACCAGACAGTCAGACCCTTAAATATTCATAAAAAAACAGTCAGATCCTTGAACCCATGACCTAGTGACTAAAACCATTTAACATCCAAACCAACTATTTGCAGCATTGATTATAAGTTGTTTCTAAGAGAAACTAGCCAGACCACCTGGACTAAGTGGTCTCTCTAGTTGAGGTGTAAGTTGGGTACGCAATTTAGAGAATTTACACAATATAGGGCCTCAGGGCCCATTTAAAATTTTAACAAATGCTCAACCCAAACTCATAAAAAAAAGCTCAACCCGAGCTCGCCCAAGTTGCACCCCTATCTCTAGTTCTTATTTAAGGCCCTGTTGGGAGGGCTTAAGCTTTGGTTGAGCTGCTCTAGCTAAACTACTTTGAAGATGCCATTGAAAGAAGCTCCAAGAGAGAGCAAAGTGGCTGAAAAATAGTCAGCTTGGCCTTTCTGGACTTTTCATCAAACATTGCTTATAGCTTGCTGGATGGGCCCCACCTTGCAAAGTCAAACAGAAGTGTGAAAGCCCTCCCAAATGGGCACTAGATTTATTATTTATGATTGCAGTAATTAAGATCTTGTCCTATGCTTTGCACTCTCAATTGGGGAAAGATCAATCTAACATAAATTTGATGCTGGTGCAGGGGCCACTTTCATCGGCCTTTCCGATTGAAAACAGGAATACCCCAGTGACAATGAAGGCACTGAAGAATCACCTGGATCGGGCAAAGAGTCTTCCATTTGTGAAGCGAATATCTGATTTTCATTTGCTGCTTTTGCTGGCTAGGTTTTTGGACATAAATTCAGATGTTCCTGCATTAGCAGAGTGCGTGCAGTCACAAACAACAGTTCCAGAAGGCTACCAACTTCTAATCGAGTCTATGGCCAGCGCTTCTTGATGTCGACTGCATTGTCTGGCGGGTTGGATGAGTACGGCACGGCTGAACTGAATATGTTGGCACGAAGCCATCCGCATTTGCATTCTGGCACCTTTGGATGCCATCGAAAATTGGTTGGTTGCTTCTGAAAGTTGTTTCATTATATAAGTTAAACCAAAGGTTATAATGTAAAAGTTTGGATGTTTTTATTTTATAAAAAACGAAAAAAATGTCAGTTACGATAGCTGTAGTGTTGTACTGTTGTAGGCCTGTAGCCTAATATGGCCTGAAATTGAGTTAAGAGGCATGAAACAGGTCGGATCTGTGGGTTTGATCCATATCTAAATATGGGAAACGGGTCAGCACGTGGGCTTGGTTGAATTTGAATTGAATTAGATCTCATTTGAGTGATTCATAGCTTCATACAATCCGTTTATCCACTTGGGCTTATTGAACTTTGGTGCCCAAAGTTGGATTGGCATGCGATGCAGCAAAGCTTCTAACTAACAGCTTTTTTATACCAGAGGCAAAGAGGGGTAATCCGTAATTTTAATTCACGGTAAGGCTGTATTTGACATTACCTAGTGTTCATAGGGGCATTTTAATTGCGAAAAAGAGACAAGTCATTAAAATAAGGAATGGCACCTGCATTGCAGAAATAATAATAAAATAAAATAAATTATGCAGAAATAATAATAAAATAAAAGAAATGATAATGTAAATTAATTGTGTTGCATGCAGATGCAGTCTTGGTGTATGTTGTTAAAAGAGTTCAATAACATAAATAGTCCAACAAGTAAAGAAATGATTCAAAAACATAAATAGTCCAAGAAGTGAAGAAGCCATTCAAAAACAATAGTTCAACCATGAAGATTCCGGTCCCTGCAGGGAACCCATCCCGTCCGAGGACAAATTTTATCCCAACAACAGGGACTGGAGATGGGAATAGGGTTAATTTCAAAATTGGGGGCGGGGATCGGGGACGCAGACAAAATTTTAGTTTTTAAGCCAATTTTATATTAAATGAATCAATTCTGCTGTTAAATAAGACAAAGGTTTCTAACCGATAAGAGTAACTTTTCACCCTTAATATCATTAAACGGAATGCTGCTCTCAGAATGTCAGCTTTAAGGCAACTTTTTGAAAGAAATATCACATAGGGGCACTAGTGTATCCACCGTATGACACTCTTGGCATTTATGTCCTCTCGACTATTCTCAAAAGAAATTAGGAAATCTGTTCTATTCCGTTCGTTCAATAATAAAAAAAGGTGTTTCTCTCTCTCGATCATGGCTGAGAATTGGATCGCCATGACCCAGAACTGTCAATGGGTCAACGGCTCCAACCTGTCCGGACGAACATAATAGGTTCATGTTAACTTCTGTACAAGATTTACTGATTCTTAGCATCTCCATATTTGGAACTGTAGTGGCAACATATTGTAGGAAACTCTAATCCAAATGAAGATACTGAGAGAAAACTCAAAGAAGTTGCAGCTCTAATTAAACGACGAAGCCAGAAAAATATATGTTATTGATGGCAAATTCAATGTAGCCCCCAAGGGAGACGAGTTCGTGGATATAATGGTGAAGCAAGGCTGCTTCATATTGCAAGTGGCCTTGTGCACCCTCTGTGGTTTAGCATCGTTTGTTTACCCTTAGGATATAAATCTGGGCGAAGATTGGGACAAGAAAAGGATCACTAACTGGGTCTGTCCATGTTTTCCATCAGTATCAATTTCCCCTCTTGATCCTCTACAAGTTGATGGAGCAAAGCTTCTTCCAAGCGGTGTTGAGTAGGGGAAAATGGAAGGGACCCCATGACTTGGCGAGGATGGTGTTGTATGACAGTCTGGTGAAGCCCACGCTTGATCTCCATGGAAGAAGAGCAATTACATTTCTTGTCTTCTTCCATTGCAAGAAGAGTGGTTTGGCAGAAGAAGTGTCAACTGCCAACCCTTCTCCATGCTCTTTGGTTTACTCTGACTGGGCCTGACTTGAGTGGTAGTGTTGTCAAAGAAGACGACAGTTGTCCACCTTCCGCAGCACGACGGAGTTGGGAGAAGCTGGAATTAGCTTCGGAAACAACAAGAGGATGGGGATTAGAGGGATACAAATTCAAGACAAAATGGTTGAAATTTGATGCTTATCTCTGCCTCCGTTCATCTCCGTTGGACCCAATTCAAAGACGCTGCTTGAGAGCTTGATTGATTTCAAAGGGAGTTGTATCAGGATAGAAGCGGTGGTGAGGTTCGTGCATATCTGAAGTTCATGAGTGAGCTGGTTCGTAGTCATGAAGATGCCAAGGTCCTTACTATACATGGGATCATTGATGTCGATACTGCAAGTGTTGAAAGTTTGCACAATACCTCGGTGCATTTACTCTTGCCGGAGGTAGTAAACGAACGACCAGAGTCTCAGTGTTGTAAGTGATGAGATTCGTAGTTATGTGAAGCCCAGCAAATGGGATAAGATTGTGAATCTCATCGTTATCACTCTACTTCTCACATTGGTGCAAATGGGATACTGCTGTAGGCTATCATCACCCAAAGAAATAATCGAAATCGGTTGCAGAGAATTCAGCCTTTACTTGCTACAATTCCTTTTTTTTTTCCTTGTTGTTTGATATCTTCGTGCTGTTTGTAGGGACTCTAGTATAAAGAGCTAACTTCTGATCTCTATTAGCAACAAAAAGATGAACGGGGTTCCAGATGAAGAACAAGGCTACGATAGGGTTTATTCCGATTTTGGAGAGAGTGTGTTACAATTTTAGTTGATTTCTTTAGGAAGAAGATGAATGGATTTTCAAAAGTCTCAGTCGATTACGAAGAAGAGACGACAAAGAGATTTCTTTGGGTTTTCCGTACATTTTGCAGAAAAAGAGAAAAGGAAATGATTATAAACGAGGGCAATTTTATCATAAAAATATTAGATAAAGGATAACTTTTGGGACCTAATATTAATAAAAATAATAATTTAAAAAAATTTTTAGAAATAAATTAATTTTTTAAAAATAATATCAATTGAAGACAAAATCACTATTCATCTTCTTCTTACAATCTGTTTATCAGCATCGCCGCCCGCCACCGCCTCCGGCAACGTTGCCGGAGATGAGCGGCGGCGGAAATTGTCCAAAAGGGACCATGTAAAGTATCCCTTCACCTTCACACTCTCCCTGCATTCCAAAAAAACAACATTCATTCACTTCAATCTTTTACATTAATGTTTTCCCAGTACCCATCAATCTGTTGTAATTTTAATGCAAGGATGAAATGGAAGGGGAAAAGAAAACACACAGAAAGAACGAAATAATATTATTCCAACTCACTGGATGGCTCTTTGAAAGAAATAGAAATGACGACAATGATAATCTATTCTCAAGTCATCTCTCAGGGCTTCCTCCAACGTCAATGTACCGTTGTCTATCTCTGAAACTCCTGATAAACAAATTAATTGAAGAAAATAATATATATCAGCAGCTTCTCCACTTGTGACCATCAACATTTCATGATATATGGGAAAATTAATTACAAAAAGAAACAGATCAACTATACGTGATCGATTAGCTCACCATTCTCTATAATATAAATGGTTTGATCATTGTATCGTGCCTTTACATAGAGCAACATGTCTTGAATTCCTCTTGGGTATACATAAAGCCAATCCGAACCAGACTGTAAATTAATCAAACACATAAGTCATAAACTGCTAATTAATCCATTTATTTAATAGAATGAATTGATTGATCGATTAGTTGCTGATATAAAACCAATACCTTTGGACCAATGGGGACACCATTCCGTTGCGATGTCAAAGTCACTCGAGAATCTGTAAGGTAGCTTGTGGGAACAGAGTTGGAGGTGGAAGCGTTGGCTGCATAAGCGGCAGAGTAGTAATTTAATCCCAGGAAATCGAACGATCCCTTCACTGCAATGGACTGGTCTTGTGAGAATTTTGGCAACCGATTTCCCACGAGAGATCGCATGTTGTCTGGATAGTCGCCACTCGCCATAGGTCAATGGGTTGGTGTACCTGTTATCAAAAATCATATTCTCTTCCGACACCGCCGCCGCCTCTGCCTCCGCCCACCTCCGGCAACGTTGTCGGAGGCGGAGGTGGCGGCGAGCGGCGTTGGTGAACACATTGCAAGAAGAAGATGGTGAACATTGATTTTGCCCTTAATTGATATTATTTTTGAAATTTTTTTAAGAATAAAATGTAAAAACCTCTCCTGAAGTTTCTGACAATCATAAAAACTTTCTTTATAGTTTTACTTTAGTAAAAACCTCCCCTAGACTTTTAAAGAGTTTGATAAAAACCTCCCTTCCATCAATGTCTAAGACGGAAAACACTAAACGGAAGAATCATTTTTTCTAAATACCTAATTTACCCTTTTACAAATTAGTTGCATCTATTTTTAGTCTTTTACTGAAATAATACCCTTGCTGACATATTATACTCTTTCCTCTCCCGTCGACCTCTTTACCCCTGAACTCCACCATTTGAAGAATAGGAACACAACATTCATTTCACCAATCCAAACCCATTATTCAGCTCTCTTTTCTTCTCCTCCCTCCTCATCGTCTCTACACAACACACCAAATTGTCATCGGAACCTCTTTGTGGGGGTGGTTTGGTGTTGTATTCCAACGCATGAAATTAATCCAGCTCTCTCTTTTAAACCATGAGAACAAGAAATTAATCCAGCCGTATTCCAACTGAATAGAACATGGAATCCGATGAATCTTTGATTAAGATTTGAGGGACCATACACTGCTATACTGGAAAAGCGGAGGTTGTAGGTTAACCAACAGTTGTCCTACAAACTGCAATGAAGATTGAAGAATGATCATAACTCATAACATAACATGGCCTCTCTCTTTCTCTCTCTTCGTTTGACGTTTGAATATGACCAACGATCATCACCATCGATCTAAGTGTAAACTTGATGGTCTATCTTCTTCTTTAGATGACACTTGGTTGGGAATGGCGACCACCGTGGCTCCAACGGTGGTGTTATATTCGCAGTGGAGATTCAGGCTGTATGGAGGCGGTTCGATGTTGTGTAGGGACAATGATGAGGGAGGAGAAGAAGAGAGAGATAAATAATGGGTTTGGATTGGTGAAATCAATGTTGTGTCCCTCCTCTTCGGACAATAGAGTTCTCTGCTGACATGCATAAAGTATGGTAATGTAGGGACTGGTCTGTTGCTGCTCAAAAACCATGATCTTGATATGTTCCTTCTTTACAATTCCGGCCTGAATGAGGAATGTCAACACATTTTTCTATTGATCACCTTGAAGTTGAATAACTTGGCCTAGCTTTGGGTCCTGGACAATAGTACCATTGCAACAAAATTCCTTCTTCAGATCCTTGAGTATTTTGAAGTAATTGAATTCCTCCCTCAAACCTTGCACTGTTAGGATTTTCCAACCATTTCTCTGTTATATACGCACATGCACATACTCCTTTGCCCCAACACCCGAGTCCTCAGCATTTGCCTCTATAAAGGGATGGAAGGCTGTAGGAATCTGAATGTCGTGTGCAGACATGAACCTTGGACGTTGAAAGTGGAGGACTACAAATGGAGTTTCAAAGGTATGGCCAGTTGAAGAAGAAAGAGATCGACGGGAGAGGAAAAGGGGATAACATGCTGATTGGGGTAAAATAGGTATTTAGAAAAATGATTAATCGATTTAACGTTTTTTGTCTTGGTCATTGACGGAAGGGAGGTTTTCGTCAAATTCTTTAAAAATCTAGGGGAGGTTTTACTAAAGTGAAATTATAAGGGAGGTTTTTATGATTGTCAGAAACTTCAGGGGAGGTTTTTGTATTTTACCCTTTTTTAATAATATTATTTTTATTGATATTAGAGCCCAAAAGTTACCCTTATATGCAATTATCCCAAAAAAAAATATTGCATTTCTAGAAATTAATGTAGAGAGATTGGGTTATAGAAAAATAAATAAATTAGGCTACTTCCTTTTCTGAAAATTAAGGTAAATTATTTCTGAAACTAAGGTAGAGAGAGTAGGCTATTAAAAAATAAATAAATCTTTATGTCTGAAAATTAAGACAGGTTTTTTAATTTTTTTTGGGTAAGTTATTTCTAAAATTAAGTTAGAGAGAAAGTAGGTTATAAAAAAAATAAATAAATCTACATCTCTGAAAAAGGTAAAATTAAATTAAGGAAAAGTTTTTTTTTTCTTTTCTAAAAATTAAAGTAGAGAGAGTAGGTTATAAAAAAATAATTAGGGTAGAGAGAATAGGTTACCCAAAAAATAAGGGTAAAATACAAAAACCTCCCCTAAATTTTTAAAAAACTCAAAAAAAAAACTCCCCTCTATCACTGATTAAATAGAAAACGTATAAAATTACAAAACTATCCCTAATTAATTGTTAGGGCATCCTACATACGAAAAGAATTCAAGAAAAGGGAATGGCGTTCTTTTGTCGATGATACACTTCTAAACCCAGAAAGAAGAAAGAAGAACAAGAGCCGATAAATATCAACAACCATAGTTCATTAAACAAGGAAAAAAATAGGAAATTAAAGAAAACTGATGCGATATATGCCAGTACTAAACTGATGGAATCGAACCTCATCCAATCTTTGTCTTCAAAAGAGAAATTGTAATCAATAAGCCAAAGCTTGAAGTAGATGGCAATCCCCATAAACAAAAGCAACACCAAGCCAATAAAGATGGGGCCTTTCACATACACAGCCGTTGGTTATTTGTCTATTTGTTGTCTCTTGTTTGCTCGCTCGCTTGTAAACTCAGAAAGAATCACACGGGATTTCATCTTAGGTTTCACCTAGCCCCAAGTGAATGGGAAACTACAGATTACAGACTAGTGGTGCAATTAAAGAGACAAAGAGAGAGGAGCAAGAGCTTCCATTCAGCAAGTGAATTTGAAAATGGCATGTAAACTGTAATGGACAAGCCCTGAATTGAGAAAGAATTTTGGCCCAGTCAATACTCAATACGTGTGTTTAAATTAAAAGAGCACCTTTGTTACTTTCAGGAAGACGGACAAATGATAAGGGGCATTTTTTCAACTTATCATCTAAAATGCAGCATTGGTCGGACTCTTCCTCTTTGTCTTTTCAAAACCTCCCAATGCAATGCAAAGCCTATGAGAATAGAGAACAAATGATATATAGCAGGTAGGCGTGGCCCATTTTAGAGACTAAACTTGTACTTTATAGTTTTGAAGTTAGTTACTATTAGTTAAGATTAGTTACAGGTTTGTTAGTTAGTTTTCCTTTTCTGTTATCTTTAGTCAGCTAGGTAGTTAGTTAGTTTGTTTTTGCTTCTTCATTTTGCTGTATATAAACATTTTTGTAATCTTTTTCATTTCAATAAAAAAAAATTATTCCTCTCTCCAAATTCTGTTATGGTATTAGAGCCACCAACTATTCTCAGAGAATTTTCTTTTCCTTTCTTGGCAACCAAACACCCTTAGCTACAAAGTTTTTCTTCTCAGAATTCAGAAATAATTGCAGATCTTTAATCCTCATCACATTGCGATTATAGATTTCACAAAGTTAGTTCAATTTGATCAAGTTTTACTGTTGAAATCAACATGGCAAACAACGAGATTCCTCCAGTTGTGCAACAACAAGTTGCAATTGCAGCAAGGCCTGAAGATACACCATCAAATCCGTTTTACCTTCATCCGAATGAGAATCCATCTCTGGTGTTGGTTTCACCAGTTTTATCAGGGCCTAACTTGCATTCATGGTTCAGATTTATGTGAATGGCTTTACTCTCAAAAAATAAGCTTGGTTTTGTTGATGGAAGCATATTAATTCCTTGGAAGGATGATCCTACTTATCTAGCCTGGCAGAGATGCAACACTATGGTGTATTCATGGTTAGTTCATTCCTTATCACCATCAATTGCTAAAAGTATTTTGTGGTTAGACAATGCTGTGGATATTTGGAATGACTTGTATGATAGATTTTTTCAAGGAGATGCTATAAGGATCTCAGAATTGCAAGAAGAGATTTATAATTTTCGACAAAACTCACTTTCTGTTACTAGTTATCACACACAATTAAAGATTCTATGGGATGAATATGTTACTCTTAGACCTGTTTCAGTTTGCACTTGTGAGCCCAATGTTCTTGTCAAGCACTCAAAGATGTTAAGAAAGTTTATCGGAATGATTATTCTATCAGATTCTTGAAAGGCCTCAATGATAATTTCTCAACAGTTAGGTCACAAATCTTCTTGATGGATCCTTTGCCCAACATTAACAAATTGTTTTCTTTAGTGCTTCAACATGAAAGACAGTTTAATAATCATGTGATTAAGCTTGAGGAAACAACTTCTGTGTTCTTGACTCAAGGACAAGGATCTAATTACAATCGAAGATCATTTGTTCCACAAAATTCACAGCAATCTCAAAGATATTTTTCCTCTTCTAACTCTGGTTCAGGAACCACTAGTTCAAGAAGGTTCTATGCTAATACAGGATCCAAGCCAATCTATAGCTATTGTAATACTCCAGGACATACAGTTGAAATTTGCTATAAAAAGCATGGATATCCAGTTGGATATAGAGGAAGAAGAGGTAGATTTGGTTCAAATGCTGCACATGCCAATCAAGTTTCTTATAATAGTGAAATAGTATATGAAAACACAGATGTTCTAGATTCTTCAATTCCTAATTCTACATCTATTGTTCATAATGGATCCACTTCAGCCAATAATGTGGCCACTTCTCCCATTACTCAGGATCAATACAATCAACTCATGAGTCTACTTCAGCAAATCAACTTTGCTTCTGGTTCTGCATCAGCACCTATCTCCACACCTCAGGTCAATCAGTTAACATCAACTTTTGCTCCAATTGCTAATGAATCAAGTAAATTCATTCTTTCATGCACCATTGATGATAATAAGTCTCATCAAACACCCTAGATTCTTGATAGTGGTGCAACTGATCATATAACCAATAGTTTATCCAATTTTTCAACCTATACACCTGTCATAAATACACATGTCATTTTACCCAATAATCCAAAGGTTTCTGTTTCTTACATAGGAACTGTTATATTCTCTTCCAATTTTGTACTTCATAATGTTCTTTGTATACCTCATTTTTCTTTCAATCTTATATCTACTAGCAAACTTACTAATTCATATCCTTATTGTCTCATTTTTCAACACAATCTTTGTATCCTCCAGGGTCATCAATGTTGGAAGATGATTGGACTAGATAAAAAAGTCAATGGCCTCTACAAGCTTGTCCTACCTTCTGTTTCTTGTAATTCTTTTATTACCTGTAATCCTACCATTACTTGTAATTCTATTTCTGTTCCTTTTTGTAATAAGCCTACTGCCACTGATATATAGCATTTTAGGATGGGGCATTTGTCCAATCCTCGATTGAAACTTTTGAGAGCATTGGATCATTCTATAACACTACCATTTTCAAATTACTGTTCTGTATGTCATTATGCTAAACAAAGAAAGCTTTCATTTCCTATTAGTCAATCTACTTCTACAAACTATTTTGATTTGATTCACATTGATACATGAGATCGTTTTTCTACTCCGTCATTTTATGAACATAAATATTTTTTGGCAATAGTTGATGACAAGATTAGGTTTACATGGATATACCTTATGAAAACTAAATCCGAAGCTAGACAACATATTCAAAATTTTTGTTTTTTGATTGAAACTTAGTTTTTTGCAAAAGTAAAGTGTATTAGATCTGATAATGCTTTGGAGTTTAACATGCCTGATTTTTATGCTTCAAGAGGTATTGTTCATCAAACTACATGTGTGTATACTCCTCAACAAAATTCTATTGTTGAGAGAAAACACCAACATATTTTAAATGTTGCCAGAGCTCTCAAGTTTCAATCACAACTTCCCCTTTCCTTCTGGTCTGACTGTATTTCTCATGCAGTCTATCTAATMAATAGAACTCCTTCCCCAATCATTTCAAACAAAACTCCATTTCAGCTTCTTTATAATACTGCTCCTTCATTTGATCATTTGAAATTTTTGGATGCCTTTGCTTTGCTTCTACACTTGATACAAATAGAACTAAGTTTGATGCTAGAGCTGATCCTTGTGTTTTTCTTGACTATCCTTCTGCCACTAAAGGTTTTCGTTTGTATAATTTTAGAACTAAAAAGGTTATTGTCTCAAGAGATGTTCAGTTTTATGAACACTCGTTTTCTTTTCATTCTAATTCTTTTTCAACAGATAATTCAGACTTTGTTCTTCCCACAGAATATGCAATTCCTTTAGCAGAACCTTCTCCACCTTCTTTCACATCTTCACCTTCTAATCTCCCTCACATCACAACTTTATCTCTCATTAATTAATCACCACTACTTACACCTAATCAGTCACCACCACTTACCACTGTTGATTCACCCCTTTTTACTAATGTTTCACCAGATTCCGTACAAAGTACACATTCTGAAACTCAACCTAGAAGATCATCCAGACCTTATACACTTCATATCTTGATCAATATCACTGTCAAATACCAAATCTTAAAGCCAATTCTATTTTTAAAACCTCCAATCGTCACCCCTTATCTTCTACCTATTCCACTCATAAATTATCTTATTTTCATAGGGTCTTTGCTACTCAAATCTCCCAAACCAAAGGTCTTAGAACCTATAATGAGGCTATAAAATCACAATGCTGGAAGGATGCATTGACACTTGAGATCAAAGCAATAGAGCAAAATAATACTTGGGTTTTAACTGATTTACCTGTAGGAAAACAACCTCTAGGGTGCAAATGGGTTTTTAGAACCAAGTATCGTGCAGATGGCAGCATTGAAAGATACAAGGCATGATTAGTTTCCAAGGGCTATACTCAACAGAATGGCATTGATTATCTTGATACTTTTTCTCTAGTTGCAAAAATAACAACTATTAGATCTTTATTTGTTGTTGCAGCTATTAAAGATTGGCATTTGCTTCAACTGGATATTAACAATGCCTTTTTGCATGGTGACTTACATGAAGAAGTTTACATGACTCTTCCACTAGGTTTTGAAACTTTTGATCCTTCAAAAGTGTGCAGATTAACTAAGTCACTATATGGTCTCAAGCAGACAAGTAGACAATGGAATCAAAAGCTCACTGATGCTTTGTTGTCTCAAGAATTCATTCAGGCAATTTCGGATACCTCTCTGTTCACAAAACAAGCTGATTCTCATTTTATAGCCTTGCTAATTTATGTTGATGATGTCATTTTAGCAAGTGACAGCATTGATTTGATAAATGATGTCAAAAAGTTCTTACATGATGCTTTTAAAATTAAAGATCTTATCCAACTTAAGTTTTTTCTTGGCTTAGAAGTTGCCCGATCCAAAGCTGGCATTAATCTCAGCCAAAGGAAGTATGTGATTGACCTTTTGGAGGAAACATGTTTTATAAACAGCAAGCCAGTGTCTACTCCTATGATTACTTCTCAAAGACTTGATAAAGATGTTGGTACTCCTTTCACAGATGTTAATTCCTACAGAAAATTGGTTGGCAAATTAATTTATTTATTTAACACAAGGCCAGACATTTGTTTTGCTGCCCAACATCTTTCTCAGTTTTTGGACTGCCCTACAGATCTTCATATGCAAGTTGTACATAGAATTCTTCGATACTTAAAAGGTAGTCCTGGTCAATGTGTGTTCTTCTCTGCTTCATCATCTCTGCAGTTGAAAGCCTTCTCAGATTCAGATTGGGCTTCATGCCCTGATACCAAGAGATCTATCATTGGCCATTGTGTTTTTTTGGGGGATAGTCTAATATCTTGGAAATCCAACAAGCAGCAAATTGTCTCCAAATCTTCCTYTGAAGCTGAGTATCGTGCCCTTACTGTTGTTACATGTGAAGTTCAATGGCTTATTTATTAAAAGATTTGTAGATTTCTCAAGTTGCTCCTGCTCTTGTTTTTTGTGACAATCAATTAGCTCTTCACATTGCTCGTAATCCAGTTTTTCATGAGCGTACAAAACATATTGACATAGATTGCCACATTGTAAGGGAAGAATTGCAAGCTGGTTTGATTCACCCGATGCCAATAGCTTCTGAAGAACAATTAGCTGACTGCTTCACTAAGCCCTTGCCACCTCACTCATTTAATAATTCAATTTGCAAGCTGGGCATTCAAAATTTGTATGCTCTAGCTTGAGGGGGGCTATTAGAGACTAAACTTGTACTTTACAGTTTTGAAGTTAGTTACTGATAGTTAAGATTAGTTACAAGTTTGTTTGTTAATTTTCCTTTTCTGTTATCTTTAGTCAACTAGATAGTTTGTTTGTTTTTGCTTCTTCATTTTGCTGTATATAAACCTTTTTGTAATCTTTTTCATTTCAATCAAAAAAAAAAATATTCCTCTCTCCAAATTCTGTTAGCCCACTTGGGGATTTTAGATAGGCTTTTTATCCTTGTATTGAAATGAAAGAGCTTTAGAGTTCAGACACATTGACTGCTTCCGTTTAACAAAACAAAATTCTACTAGTGGCCGACCGATGGAGGGAGATAGAGAGAGCGGGGGAGAGAGAAAGAGATGATCGAACTCATTCACATCTGCCATAACCATAGCTGCAACCATTCATTCACACGATTCCGTTTGCTTTATATTGGAACTTTCTTAATCATTTGCGTGTCTGTTTTAAATTTTAGCAATTCTTGGTATTCCAAGCAATGGTGCCGCTGCAAGTGTTTAGTAGTGTTATTTTCTTTTGCTCTGAAAAACAACGGAAACCAATTGTAGAAGTGTTGTCACTCAACTGAGGGCAATTTGGGATTTTAAAAAATTTTAAATGACGCCGTGCAGATTACTAGTCAGGGGTAATTTCATAAGTTTTTTATGTTTCTGGTCTGGGTAAATGAGGAAGGGAGGTTTTTGTTTAGTTTTTTTAAATTTAGGGGAGGTTTTTATTAAAATGAAAATAAAGGGGAGGTTTTTATGATAACCAGAAAATTCAGGGGAGTTTTTTGTATTTTACCCTAAAAATAATTAAGGTACAGATTGTTCTTTCACGCTGATTCGATCAACCCTTACAGCTGACAAGCAGGCCACATTTCACGCTGGTTTGGTCAGCTCTCAGTCAGGCCCAATTTTACGTCCCTACGATCGGACAGATGGCAGCCGATGCAACGAGTTTGGTATTCAAAGAATAATAAATCTTATTGGGGAGGGTATTTAAGGAAATAAGCGAATAAATACTGTCCATTGTCAGGCTTTCCTTCGTACACCTTTGTCCATCCGATTAGTATCCATTGTCCATTAGATTATCATCAGCCTATTGTCCAACGTGCTGACTCAGTTCAATGGGTTCAGCTTAGGGAGCCTCCCTTTGCCCGTTGGGTTTTTTTGTCCACATGTGTTCGAGCTATATCCAACAGACAGGCTTGCTGATTCTATCCAACGGGTCTAACGGGCTCGGCTAAAGCAGTCTTACTTTGCCCATTGGATCCAACATGCCTTTGTCCATCTGGCTTAGATTCTATCCAACGGCAAACTGAGGGAGTTTGTTCGAATGTGGCATTTCTGTAATTTTAAGAAAAAAAAAGGTAAAATTCACTGTTAGATTCTATTTGCTGCATTCTCAAATCCCCTAACATACACATTTTAACTTAATAGATATATATTGATATACCCAGAAAACGGTATTAAAAAATGTCAATTGGTGCACCTCTGGTTCAATTGATTTGATCAAATTAAACGTTTTTTTTGCCATATTTGGAAATTGTTCAGGAAACTGGTTCTGTTTTATCTTAAATCTGGTCTTTGATAAAAAAACCATTGAAAAAATCAATAATTCATTGACTCAGATGATCAAATTGTCGATTCATTCAATGATTTTTGACTGTTTTTTATTTTATTTTTTTGTCAAAATGGACTGTCCGTTCAAACCAGATGGTCGGACTGTCGACCCAAATACTGGTGGGCCAGAACGGTTCCATTCTACAACACAATTAATTTAAGGTTTGTGTAGATGGTTTGGGGAGTGATTGGAATTAAGTCGTGATTCGAACGGGATGCCTTCACTAGACTTCATTGCGTGGGTGATGGGTGGTATCCATTTGTTATTTTACTTGATAGAGCCGTGAAGTTACGGACTTCCTGTCTGTTTTTGGTTTGTTTGCACAAGCAGAAAAAAGCTAAAACATGGAGTTGTATTATTTGACATGATTGTGTTTGTTTACCAATTGCCACATTGTGAGGCGATTATTCTTCCACTGTCTCCCAAGTCGATAGGGTTTTGATTCTAAGGCTGTGTAGTGTGTGGACCAATTTCATCATTCGCCACGGGAATGGAGGCAGTGGAGAATAACCTAGATTGAGCACCTGCTGCGGTTACTAATGAATCAATGGCCAATCCTTCTTCCTTTTTTATTATTCATTAAAGATGGGAATTAGTACAGATGGCTTGGGGGGGACACTTTCCATCGTAAAGGAGATGTAGTTCCCCGATACAAAGTAACCAATACGACTAGTATAAGAAAAGCTTATAGAGGTAAACAGCAACGCAACATCCAGGCATCATGAAGAACTGGTTGACTCGACCACGAACAAGATGATTTTTTTCCTTGCACTGACCTGATGACTGAAAGATTATCGCACAGCACCTGAAACATTTGTCCTTCCAGCTTTGTTGTTGTTGATGGCATAGAACTCAGCTGATTTCGCAGGGTGAACTTGAACAAATATGTTACCATACTTCATAAAATTCAGCTCAATGAAGCAATCTGCATCGTGCTACTTCTAGCACCACATATGCCATTAAAGTGGCCGATACTAGTTTTGTTGGTGTAATCATAATCCAATATGATCTGAATTTTTGTATTGACCCTTGATTCAAGGCTTCAATTTTATTGATAATTCTTTCTTTTTTCCCATCAGACACCAAAATCTATACCCAATAGAACAAAGCTATAAGATCCGCAAGCGCATTGATGATGCGAACCATGAATTAGATTCTGTTGGAAAGTTGCGTCTGAGCTTTTCCAAATTCATTTGTTCTGTCTCTTTATTGTTAGTAGTGCTTTCTACAGAATACAAGATCTCTCGAGAAAAACTATTTGTACTTCACATTTTGGGGAGGGTCTCCAATCCCTTCTTTATTTATCCCTTTTTATGACATGATCTCTAGGGCCTCCCTCTTTTGTCCAAGTATGTTGAACACAGTTGCAGCAATGTGAGATGGTGTCATGCCAGCTTCAGCCATCTGATCTGCTGGGGATCCATGGTCAATGTACCTATCTGGAAGAACCAATGGTCTCCACTGCAAAAGAATTTCAAGACAAAAATGTAAGTACATGTCTATATATTACTCTAATAAATAACACTTTGGTGATCCAGTTTTGTCATTTGGAGTTTTTGTACCTTTACTGTTCCATCAAGAAGGCCATCAAGGGCCAAGAACTGAGCCACATGAGACCCAAAGCCCCCAATTGATCCTTCTTCAACTGTGATTAGGACATCATGTGATTTTGCTAGACTGCGAATAAGGGACCGATCAAGTGGCTTGCAGAAGCGTGCATCTGCAACTGTCAACCGCAAACCATGGCGCTCCACTAAAGACACTGCAGCCAAACAGCCTTGCACTGCTGTTCCATAACCCAGGAGTGCCACTCTTTCACCCTCAATCAAAATGCGACCCTTTCCAACCTGTTAGGAAATTTCATTTAGTTAAATATTAAATCCTCCAACTGCCATTTGGGAAGGAAAAGAAAAAGGAGACTCAGTTGAACACACTTCCAGTGGGATGCCTTTGTTTCCTGGTGGCAGCTGAACACCAATCCCATTCCCTCTAGGGTATCGGAAACAACTAGGTCGATCATTGATGGCAGCAGCAGTAGCAACCATATGAAAAAGTTCTGCCTCATCTGAAGGAGCCATGACAACCATGTTCGGAAGGCATGCCATATAGGTAACATCAAATGACCCAGAATGTGTTGGCCCATCAGCTCCCACCAGCCCAGCTCTGTCCAATGCAAACCGCACTGGTAGTTTCTGCAGATCTACATCATGTATCACCTGTGCAATGGGTACACATTTCAGTTTTAGCAGATTGAATCCAGACTAACATTTTTTTCCTTCTATAACAAACAAAACTTAGAATCATGTCATTAGAAACTAAAAAGATAAAATCATTTGTCAAGAAGAAGAATACAAAGAAGCAGGTTACTAACCTGATCATATGCCCTCTGCAAGAAGGATGAGTATATAGCACAGAAAGGTTTAAGACCTTCACAAGTCAGTCCTGCAGCGAACGTAACAGCATGCTGCTCTGCAATTCCAACATCAAAGCACCGTGTTGGAAAACGGCGTTGGAAGAGATTCAGGCCAGTCCCTCCACCCATTGCAGCATGGATGGCAACAATATCTTTGTCTGCCTCTGCTTCTGCTGTCAAGGCCTCCGCAAAATATGTGGTATAAGATTGAGTAGGGACACTAGATTTGAATTGTTTTCCAGTAGCTGGATCAAACTTGGTTACACCTACAAAAGAAAACCCATGATGAACGTCCAATTTTCATGATTCACAACTGATAAATTTAGAGATAAATGTACAATTTGGTATTTACCATGATACTTGTCTGCAGCTCTCTCTGCATATGGGTATCCCCGGCCTTTCTCAGTCACAACATGGATGAGGACTGGGCCAGTTGTATGGGTACTCTTGACCTCTTTGAGAATGGACACAAGATCATCGATGTTGTGACCATCAACAGGACCGATGTAATAGAGACCAAGCTCTTCAAAGAGTGTTGAACCAGATCCACTGATCATCCCACGGGCATACTCATCAACCTTTGCAGCCAGTTCATGCATAGGCCCACCAATTTGTTTCGTAACTCCCTGGAACAATTTCAATTGTAATAAAAATCAGATTCACAAGGAAGCAGTTGTGAGGACTTGTGACAGCTCTGTTGCTCTTAGGAAGTTACACTAACCTTAGCAACCTCCCTTAGTTCTCTGAGAGGCCTGCTGGACTGCAACTTACTAAGAGCACTGCTCAAAGCTCCTACAGGTGGTATGGGCCCATCAAGAGTAGCAGTGGGCAACGAAACTTGTTTGTTGTCATTAAGGATAACAATCATGTCTGAGTCTAGGTACCCAGCATTGTTCATGGCTTCATAGGCTTGCCCTGCAGTCATGGCACCATCACCTATTACAGCAACCACATGGTTCTTTCTTCCTTTCAGGTCTCTCCCAACAGCCATTCCTGTTTGCCAACAACCACCCAAAAATTAAAAACCCATAAAACTAATTACAATTCACGACCAGATAAACTTGTTGATTCTTTGAAAGATTCAAGCTCAGAAACACATAAGGTACATATAGATAAGGATACGCAAAGGAAAAACAAATACCCAGAGCTGCCGAGATACTAGTAGAACTGTGACCGGTGCCAAAACAATCATAATCACTCTCAGAGCGTTTAGTGAATCCAGACAACCCGTTTGTCTGTCTCAAGGTTGGCATCTTATCTCTTCTCCCTGTGAGGATTTTGTGTGGGTAGGACTGCAATGATAAGGGCATTAGTATACTCAGAACCCATTTTCTTAAACGATCCTCTCGGTGTCTTCTTTGTTAGCAGAGACGCAAAATACAAGCTATGGATTATAAAAGAAAAGAAATGCTCTATACATGAATAGAGAACAGAGGACAAAATAAAGTAATAAGGGAAGTGGCGTACCTGATGACCGACGTCCCATAGAATCTTGTCTTGAGGGCAATTGAATACATAATGGAGAGCCACAGTAAGTTCCACGACGCCAAGGCTTGAACCAAGGTGACCACCGGTTTTAGAAACGTTGAATATGATATCGGACCTTAGCTCATCTGAAAGTTGTTTCAGCTCCTGCATCGACGGATAATAAGCAGATATGGTATCTGGGTGAGGGATAACAGTTTCTCCAATCCATAAAACTACATATCTTCGTCCATTTATGTACCTTGATGGAGAGGTTTTTCATATGTATCGGGTAGTTAATGGTGTCCAGCAGCGGAGTTGGTGGTCTCTGTGAGTAATACTCCGCCCTTTCTGATAGTGATGCCGAAACACCACCTGACCTTCTCCGGACCTGCTCCAAAATAAGAACAAAACAACCCATTTCATTCAATTACTACTACTAGTCTAAAAACCGGGTCTTCGGAAGTAATTGAAAAAGAAAAGTGAAAATTCCGGTGGTACTTCCTCGATTTAAAAAATCTCATATAACCTGTTTATCCATTAAAAAAAATCTGATATATAGACACCAAAGAATTCTGTGTAATGTTTTCCTAGTTTACCAAAAAGACAAAAAACTCAGGAAAAAACTTTAAAATAGAAAGAATTAACAAGACCCAGCTATCCGTGTTCATGTCACATAAACATGAACTGGAAGACAAGTAGTTCTCTTCCCCGATTGGGAGCATTCGACTTAATTGTGCAAAAAAGCATAGAGATCCAGACCTGAATGTGTCTTTGCTGAAATTGGTGTGGAAGATCTGCTCCACGAAAAGGATGAGAAGAGAGTAAGCTGGGCTTGAGGGAATCTGAAGAAGCTACCTCTCTGGGTAAATGACAAGGGAAGGAAAAGGATGAGAGAGCCATTGGAGATTGACAAAGAGCAACAGCTGAAGTGGAGACTGGAGAGAGCTACAGAAAAAAAAAAATGATAAGAAAACTAGAAGAACCCAGGAAAGAAAACAAGTTCAGATTCCCTGGTGGGAGAGGATGATGGATGGCGAAATGGGTTTCTCCGGCATCTCCACTTATATCAGTGCTCCAGCTTCCAGGAGGAAAAAATGGAACTGATCAAATGATGAAAGAGATTTGTGGTGAATGTTTGATATTGGGTTGTGACGTTTGTCCCAGTGAGGGCCCCTTGGCCTTACCCAGGTAACCGATCAAGCATCACTTTTCCTTGTCTCCCCTCTCTCCTCAATCCCCTTCGGACCAATTGCAGTGCAGCAAAATGTCACGTCTTCCTCCATTGGACCACGTAAGACATAACCCACTAACCAGATATCACGAAGTAGATAAAGAACAGAAAGATACATTCTCTCTTTGTTTTGGGGAGTGTTTGCCAAATTGCATAGCTCAGGGTTTATCCTACCCAAAATTACGGCTGGATGCCCGTGCTTGTTGAATGTGTGCAGACCAGACCAGAGATCCCGTCTTCACAATCACACAACTCTCGGACCTAATGAAGTAATGTGCTCTCTGTCCGATTATCGTGAGCTGTTGTATTGTGTTTAGGGTTGCAATCCAATCGAGCTCTAATTGAAGAGTTTGGGTTTGAGCTCTATAATTAGATTCTAATCCAGTTCAAATTTCAAGGTAAGCTTGATTTAGTTATTCGAATTTGAGTTTGGCCAATAAAATTTTTGCTTGAAAATTAATGAGTCTGGCTCAATTAACACACATACATATGTACAAACATATATATATATATATATATATATATATATATATATATATAATATTATATATAATTTATAAAATATAAAATATATTCATTTTGTAGCTTTCAATCCAAATCTGATCTCATCAAATATTTAACTGAACCGAACTTGAACCGGAAAATATAGTTTTAATCAAATTCAAACTTGAACTCGAACCTAGTAGTATTTTAACCGAATCAAACCAAGATATGCCAAAGTTTGTCTTGGCTAAACTCAATTGCACCCCTAATTGTGCCCTAACTAATAGTAGGGGTGTAAGTGGGGTCAAGTTAGGTCAGTTTGAGGTTAGACCTATTCACGAATTGGGTTTTCCAGCTTGGGCCATGAACATCCATTTGATTTACAGTCAAGATTGGAATTGGAATCGAAATGAGAATTCCCAAGAATTTTGACTTGTTATGGATTTTATGAGAGATAATGAAGACTCCTCAAAGCTTTAATTTTGACTTGTTATATTTTTAATGGTTTAATTTAAAAATAAATATGCACATGTATGAATAAGGGGAGAAGAAGAAGAAGGTCCCTGTGAGCTTTGTGGTCAGAGGACCATTCACCTGCCCTATTTGATAAATATCACCTAATTAGATACAACTTTTATGATCCCAATTGATTGGTTTCAAGTTTTTCTCACATCATGTCTTTCCAATATCATAGTCAACTCTCTCTCTCCCCCCAAATTTGCTATAGTCTAAAGATCAATAAATCAATCCATTATTAATTTGGGGATTTGAAGTGTTATAATGGGGCATTAATAACACAATTAAAGTTAGATTATAACAATTGATAATAGATCAATCTATTATTTATCCAAGGTTCTTTTAAATTTCAAATCTCACCATCAATGCACATTACTTTTTTTTTTTTTTGGCTCTCAGAAACTCTAGACTTTGCAAAAAGGTCAATTTCGACCCTAAAGAATAAAAAAAAAGGCTATTTTTGACCCTAGACTTTGGTGAAAAAGCTAATCATAGGCAAAAATAGATGGTGTTTGGAACGACATCAATGGATCTGTTAAGCAATGTCATACAGCACCGCTAAAGTTTGAAAAAACCACTTTAAACCTTAATGTTTGAAAATGAGCCACTTTAATAAAGTTAATTAAGTAAATTACTTTAGGGTCTAATTAAATGGCCCTAAAGTATTTGATTTACTTAGTTATGTTAATTAAGTAAATTAAATGAACTACAATAATTAAGATAATTAAGTGAATTAAGTAATTAAATTAATTAGGGAAATGAAGATAATTAATTAAATTAAATAAACAAAGCTAATCAATCTAAATAAGTAAATTAAGTCAATTAAGCAAGATTTTAAAAACCAACCGAAAATGAAACCACTTTGGCCACTGATTTCTGGGTCAATGGTTTGACCTTTTGGTTTGAATGGATCAACCCATGACGTTTTGAAAAACAAAAAATAAAATATAGTTAAAATAAAAAATGGTCTAAAAACCATTTACTGGATTGAGTAGTTTAGTGGTTCAACCATTTGGGTCAGTGTTTGTTGACCAAGTTAAAATTCTGGGTAGTCAAACCATTTGACCCAGGAATCAATCAATTGTCCAGTTCTATATTATACCTAGCCTAGAATTTTTCAAAAAAAAAAACTTTGACTTGGTCAACAAACTATTTAATCCAATAAATAGGTTTTTATTATTTTATTTTTAGAAACATCATGGGTTGATTCGTTTGGACCAGACATTCGAACTGTTGGCCCATAAACCGATGGCCAAAGTGGTTCTGTTTTGAGTCGGTTTTAAAACCTTGCTTAATTGGATTAATTTACTTATTTAGATCAATTAGCTTTATTTATTTAATTTAATTAATTAACTTCATTTCCTTAATTAATTTAATTTACTTAATTATCTTAATTATAACAATTTGTTTAATTTAATTAATTGACTTGATTAAATACCTTAGGGTCATGTAATTAACTAAGTAAAGTAAATACTTAATTATACTTTAGGCTCATTTAATTAGACCCTAAAGTAACTTACTTAATTAATTTTATTAAAGTGGCCCATTTTCATTAGGGTCAAAAGCTGCCTTTTACAAACTTTAGTATTGCCACATAACATTGTCTAATGGATCAATTGATGTCATTTCAAATGCCATCTATTTTTGCCTACAAATGGCCTTTTCACTAGAGTTTAGGATCGAAAATGGCATTTTTTTATTTTTTAGGATCAAAATTGGCCTTTTCTCAAAGTTCATGGGCTATGAGAGCCAAAAATCTTTTTTTTTTTTCTGGTGAAATTAATGCACATTACTTGAAGCTTTACAAATTTTGCCATTTAATCCCCCTCTCCCAATCTTGGTTGGCTTGGGTGGAACTGGCTTTGGAACTGAACTTGCATTAAAATAAATCTCAAAATACTTTGAGGATGTATAGATTTGAACCCATGCACTCATGGTTACAAAGATCATGATCTCACTTGACTATTGAGTCACTTAAGTGATTTGATCCTTTTTGTTCAATTTAATATTTGAATGTGTATAAGAAGTAATGTAAAAGGTAATATTTACAAAATTGAAATTATAAAGATAAGCTTGAACTATATATTAATATATAGTCTACATATTAAATTATACAACTTAATCAATAAAGGTAATATAAGTATGTATTATTATTGTTGAAAATCATTTTTTAAAGAATAATATCTATTTTATTATTTTTTTTTGAGGGGGGAGTAAAGAAAGAACAAGTTCCAAAGGTAGGCCTTGGAATCGTTCTTGACAGGTAGGTTTTGGTTTCGAAAACCTGTTCTAAGTTCAACCTTATTGAACCATGCTCACCCCTAGATATACATAGATTTAAAAAGCTACATGCTATCATTAAGATTTGAACCCAGGTCTTACAAATTTAAGGTTTGAGAACTCATCACTAAGGTGTCGTCCAATAGCATACTACTAGTTGAAATAACATAGGATTAGTTTAAATGACAGCCACATTTAATTCAAATAAATGCTTAACCAAAAAATTAAAAAAAAGAAAAGAAAATTCGATCATTGAGATAAATATTTTATAAATATTAATGAGATAAATGATATATAAATGATCTATCAAATCCATTGATATTTATGTAAAAGATATTTTTATTTTTTGGTAATTATAAAAACAAAATAGTTTTTTAGGTCTGTTTGGCTCATGAACAGGTCCGTAATTAGAATCCCTAGGAATCAGAATCGGATTTTGATTGTTGTTGTTTGGTTTTTTGAAGTTGGAATTGGAATCAACTAAAAATTTTAATTTTGTATTAGTCTATTTATTATTTTATTATTAATTTAGTAATATATAATTATTATTTTATTATAACTTTAATAATAATAATATTATTATATTTTATTATTTTATCAATAATTTATTATTTTATTAGTATTTTATTATTAGTTTATTAACATTCTATTATTTTTGTTTATTATTTTGAAATTAATTTATTATTATTGAATAATTAATGTGTTACTAATTTATTATTATTTTAATGATATTATATTAATATTTTATTTGTACTTCATTATTATTATTTAATAAATACTATCTTTGATTTTATTATTAATTTAGTAATAGTTTTATAGTACTATTTTTTACTAATATTTTATTATTATTTCATAAATTTTTTATTAATATTATATTATTACTTAAATTATATTGTATTAATATTTTATTTATACTTACTACTATTATTATTATTATTATTAGGGTTTGTGGGTTTTTTGTGATAATTCTTCTTAACAGACTTTGGAATGAGAATCCCATTCCGCCAATCAAGAATGTGAATCGAAATTCCATTCCTATCGAACAAATAATAGAGCCACTCTGATTTCGATTCCAGGCATCTATTCCGGAAAACTAAATGGACCCTTAGTAATATTAGATGCATCATGGGGTTTCACATGGAAACCGACATAATAATGGTGGTAGGGCTGTAGGGGTGTTTGTTGCAACTCTCACATGCAATTCATTAGAGGGTTCTCTCATTAGTATGACATAAAATCTAACTTGGGAAGCACTGCCCCTTTGTATAATGGCAAGTACAGAGTTCAAATCAGCCCCCACAACGTTCCACAGCACATCTCTCTCATGTATTGGAATATCTCCTGATGATAATATCAAGAATAATGATGTCATCATCACGAGATGTTCTCAATACATGGTGGGAATGTACTATGGGACGTTGAGGGGGGCAATCTTGTGGGGGTTGATTCGGTTTCAACCATTTGGTGGTATCAGAATCTAGTTATCTACTTCGACTCCAAAATCCTGGTTGATATTGTACATTTATTATGAAGAAATTTCTGTTGCTGAGACTCTAGTAATTTTTTGTTTGTGATAATGTTTAGATACAATGACTATCCACAGAAATTCTTTTATTGTTTTTTTTTTGTTTTTATGAGCCGATATGCTCCTTGTATTGCTTTTTTTAGAGGGGATAGGTATTTATTTAGAGTTCGAATCACTTATACCTTCCAACACCTTCCGATTGTAGTGCATTTTGTCATATAAATTATTAAATTATGTGATTCTTATGTATTCATAGTTTTTTTTTTTTAGTTTTGTACCATATTCATAGTTATTTTAACCTCATATTTGATGTTATGTATTCATTTTGTCAGAATTTTCTTGACGTTTCCGTTTCCATGTGCATACATATCTTTCCACCATATCCATGTGGTATCCAAAACATATCGTGATATATGTATTAATTTTCAAACTTATCAATACAATACATGACATTGATATTTTGAACCTTATATTATACCATAAGAACTTAGGTTTTCAGATGACTAAGGGGCTAGATGAACTAAATGACGTGTTGCTTTTGTCTTTCAGGGTGCGTTTGGTTGCAATGTAAACGTAAATATGTGCACTATATATTTATCCTTTTTTTGGTTCACGAATGCAAATACGGTTCACATTTTAAATCGTTTTTGCACTCATCTTGTTTGTTTGAAATTGGTGCAAAGTGTGGGCCCATTATTAAATTCTCCAACTATTTTATGCTCTAATGCCTTAACTTTGGTCAAAAAATTAATTATTAAAAGAATACAAAATTGTATCCAAAAAATAAGTACAATAATGCTCTCTTCTCAGAATACAAAAGTATCTAAAAATACATTTTTGATCTAATAATCATTACCTTTTTATATATCAAATAAACACCCGCAAACACGAACCAGGGTAAATATATACTCCGATTCGGCATTTGTATCGCAAACAAATGGAGCCTCGAGGATAAAATAGTAATATGAAAATAGTTGGGGGCATACTCATTTATTTTCACATAGTAATGTGAAAACAATTAATGATCTCACAACCTTCTCTAGTAAAAGAAAACAATAAATCATTACCACAAGTAGTCCAACCATAACGGGTATTGAGAATAAGGACCTTATATAAATTTTTTTATGCACCATAAATAAACTAAACCTTTGATTTTTTTTTTTTTATAAATTTATCACTCTCGAACTTGAACCCATGTTGGATAAAGGTCTCTTAGGACCATTACCAATGTTGGATTAAAACTGAATATCTTCTATTGTTAGCTAGCAAGTGATAAATTAGTTGGAATCTACTCCCAGAAAAATTCATTCCAACATGCTCCAAAATGTGATGACATCGCACATCTCACCATGAAACTAGGATCGACCATGTGTGAGATTTGCGCTGTCATTGCCAAATCATGTGGGAAGAGTTTTGGGATGTATTTGGTTGGGAATAGATCCCGATTAAGTGATAAATGCGTCAAAATTATCTTCCATTTATCATACAATGCCATATGTATAAAAGAACTAAGGTGTTGTTCAGTTCTGTGATTATCTCATGGACAGGACTGTTTCTACCGTGTGTAACATCCCCATTCACAAAATATCATGGACGAGGATGGTCCACGTGGCCACAATAAAATATCATGATTGGGGCTTGTGGACAAACCCATGGATACAACTCGATGCAACGCATCAATAGGCGGGGATCATATTCTTCATCCCCGATCTCGATTCGGAAATTAATCCTTATCCCTGACCCAATCCCTATTAGGTGGGGATAGGCGAATCCCCGACCTCGACCCCAACCCCAATTGGGGATCCCTATTAATCCCCATCCCCGCCCTGTCAAAGCATAGGGTTGGGGAAGTTGAGTCCCCATTGGAGATGGGGAAAATTGTCATCCCTAATTACAGCTTCTTCTCATCACTATACACATTTGTTGCTGTGCAAAACTCCACCGTTGTGACACATTCCGCTAGTGAAACCAACTCCAACCAATACCATTCTCTTCCTCTATTTCTTATATCTCTTCTCTTCTCCTCTATTTTATTTTCATTTTTTTTGTCGTTTTCATCCAAAAGAGGTGTGTTTTGTCTTCAATATTTTCTCCCTTTTCAGTCAAAAGAGGTGTTTTCTGTTTCGTCATAATTATTATTTTTAACTTATTTTCATTTATTTAAATATTTTTATCACCATTTTTGTTAATAAAAAATTATTTTGTATTATTACATAGATTCATATTTTATACATGTTATCCTTTAATATTTGACATATGAGAAATATATTTTTTTATATTTATTAATAATTATGTATTGGTGTTTTACATTTTTCTCCATAGTTATTTCGTATTATTATTCCAAATTATTTTGAATTCAAAATATATGAATTTTTTATTGATGATTGACTTGATTAAATTATCTCATCAGCTGTATGTGAGATGCATGGAATCAATACTCAATAGGTGTGGTCAAGGTTCAAAAAATCAACATATATTGGCCCGTATTGACCAATACGTATCATATTGGGAGCACCCCAATACGCCTCTATAGAGAGTGCATCGGAGTTTTAACTGGTTCAGGGGGTGGAGAAACCTTAAACTATCCCTTGAATTGGATTTGAAAGAAGCAAAAAAGAAAAAAAAAGCACAAATATCAACACTGCCTGATACCGATGTGTTGGGCATATCGTTGTTTAGAACCTTGGGTATGATTTACACCACACCCATAACATAGAATTAATACTCGATAAATGTGATGTAAATCACACCCGTAAGATACTTTTATAGGTATAAATAATTTTAATTTATCGATAACCAAATTAATTAATTTACATCCACCAATTTCTCATCCATATTACGGATGAATTCATTAGTCGTTTATTGCAGATGGGACAACCAAATTAAATTCGCACCATATCTAAATTTAATGTTAAGGAACATCATATCCACCGTAAGCGCCGTCGCATCATATCCACAGTAACCGTCGTCACATCAGAAACACTGTTACAGAATTCAACGTCAAACTAAAAGTCGGTATTCAATTGGGAGTTTGGGGTTGGTGTTGCAATTAAAAGGTGAACTCACCGCATAGTGGACCACTTCTCTTATCTTACGTGAAGCCACATGGTTAATGCTAATTTCTCAACCTATTACCTAACCCACCACCAAATGACTAGTGGATCTTGAATGGCAAACCTATAACTCTTTCCTTTTCTTTTCTTTACGGAATCTCTTCTTAATCATGAACAGTTTCCTCGGTACCCCTAACAAGAGAATATTATCCTCTGATTAAGGTAAGAGTGTGGAAGCTTCTCCATTTCTTCCGATGTCCACATGAATGGGGATGGAATTATTTAAATATCTAACGTTCTGAATTGTTGGATATGTTTCAATGGTGAAGAGGCTACTGCCCAACATGAAAGCCACTCGTAGGGTTCAGGTTGACACCCCACATGCACACCTCACCATGCATTACGAATATCAGTAGATGTTCCCAATACATGATTGGAATGTGTTGTGGGGTGCGCATGAGGCGCCAATGCCAATTCCCCTTGTAGAATTAAAATCCAAATGGAAAGATGCATCAAGAGTCCTGTGGGAAAGGTAAATATAACTTTGTTCAAAAAGAAAATTCTATAAAAATGTACCAGGGGCAACACTGTTAGATGGAGCAAAATGAAGGTTCAAAGTATCGATACACGTTTGCTAAGAGACTAGGAGGCTTATTGACCAATTTTGGTTTTATAGGTCAATAATATGTTGAATATTAAGAGTTCACTTTGTTCCACTTAATAATTTATGATCTGTCATGTCACTTGACAAGAGGTTACAAAAGAAATAATAAAAAAAAGATCCAGTTTCTTCTTGGACTGAAACTCTGGTTCTTCGAACCATGAACCAAGTGCTTGGGTTGTCAAAAAGATGTCTAAATCAAAATCAATGTGACACATATGGGAACATTAAGAGGGATGGGTAAAAATCTAGAAAGGATAGGGATGGAAATAAAATCATCTGTTAAGTCACCTACAGCACCGCAAGAACTGACATTAGAAGTAGAAGGGGCTAGAAGAGGAAAACAAGAACATGAATCGAAGTGATAATAAATGATTTAAGCACTCAAAATTTAACAATAGATAATGGCACTGATCAGAACGGCAAAACAGGATTCATGTAACAACTCATGATTGGAACGAGGCTCAGATGATATTGATGATGCTTTTTTCCTTAATTTTTTGAAATGGTAAGGTATTGTATTAAAACAAAGAGAAACTGTCAGAATATATAACCACCCATGATGATAATGATCAGAAATGACTTCATCATAAACACATCCAACAACCTTCCAGCTAGGCTTCCTTGTCTGATATTTTAACAAGCTGTGTTTGACCTACCTGAGGGACAATTTCAGTGTTGTAGATGTAAAACGCAGGATGGTTAACATACAGAACCCAAAGGAAAACATCTGATTTAGTTAGTCTCCTTAATTCATATATTAGAAGCAATACAAAAAAAAAAGGGGGACTGAATGATTTAGCCTTCCAATTAAGTGGTAGAAGTAGGAATTAACCACAAGGATAAATAAGACAAATTTAAGCATTTGATAGCCAGAAATGCCAATCTGGTGGTTGAGCAAAATGCCATTACTCATGACCAGGGAAAGTGGGGGTTGCAGGATAATAATGTACAGAAAATTCACGGAACCATGGTAAACTGTAAAGCATGAAAATTATATAGCTTGCAGAGCTTTGTGATGGACTTGAATTTTGTTTGGCAACATCATACGTTATCTTTTTATACCTTCTTATCATATAAATCAAAATCTTTGTCTGTTAAAAAGTCCAACCATCAAATATCTAGATTATGACCAAGCTATGGGCATAAATGAGTTAGTAGGCAGTATGGTTACTGAGAATTAAAAACTCATGTCCACTGTGCAACAGGATCAAAGGCACAAAGCGTATATTGCAGACCAGTAGTGATTAGATGGTAATAAGCTTAAAACATATAACCAGTCACCATGAAATAACTCACAAATTTTTGAAACATTGGTAAATTTTCTTTGGAATAAAGGGACACATCAATCCATATCAAAGCAGCACTCACTTCATCTTTGCTTCTGTAAACAAAACATGACGATTCACACGAGGATCATACTTACGGAACTCAAGCTTTTCTGTGATCTTCCGAGGATTCTTCCGCTTCACATAGAAGAATCCTGTCCCTGCAGCTGAGACAAGTCTGATGAAAATAGATCCACCCTTTGCCTTACCCATTCCTTTTCACTAAGCTGCAAAGCAGTCAACTAAAACCTGAAAAAACAATAGCTAGTTCCTATCAAAATAAATTGATTTCTTCAACAAATGGATAATAAAATGCAAATGATTTAGATGTTACATTGAATGCACACATCTTATTGCATAGTTAATGAAAGGCACATTAAGAAGGATAGTTAGGTTCAAATAACCAGATTATAAAAAAACTAGTAGATCAGAATACTATGCTTATTAAGGATATTGCTATGCATAAAAAATAATATTGCTCGGTAATTAGTGTGAAGATCAACATGTGTTGTTGAAATTAATCATGAAGAAAATCATAGAGCAATTATTCTGATGATTGAGCCATTCAAAAAAGATCGAAATGACTTCAAATAGCAGCATATTTGGTACAATAGGGCAAAATCTCTCAGCCCTTCTATCCATGGGGCAATTTTCATCCTTAAAGACCTTGCACACACCCAAACTAAACCATTGTTTGGGCACTTTCTGGACTGTTGTTAGTATTATTGATTTTTGAAAAAGATTATTGATTCATAATTATCACTCATCATCAGCATCAGCATCTAAGCCTCATCTCATCCCAACTATATGGGGTTGGCTACATGAATCTTGTTTCCCCATTCCATTCTGTTTAATGCCATATCCAATGATAAATTATTGGTGCTTAAATCATTTCTTACTACTACTGCTACCCATGTCCTTTTTGGTCTACCCCTAGCCAGCTAGCCCTTCAACTTGCAGAAAATCACTTCTTCTTACAGGTGTTGTTTAAGGTTTTCTATGCATGTGATCAAACCATCTTAGTCTACTTCCTGTCATTTTATCACCCATTGAAGCTACTCTTAGGTTCCTTCAAATGATCTCATTTCTGATCCTATCCTTTATACCTTTTCTATTCATCCATCTCAGAATACACACATCTGCCACACTCATTTTTTGGACATGCTGTTACTTGAATGCCCAACACTCTGTTCCATACAGCATAGGCGGCCTTAAAACTGTTTCTTTTTTCTTATGAAGGTATATAAAAAAGAACATTTCTTAAATGAAAAAATAGGTACAAAGTAAAAGTGATGAGAAATCACCAAAAGACAAGGCAGAATACAAAGAAACAAAAGAAAACAAGATACATCAGGATCTTTGCCACAATTCCAAGCACGACTAAAAACCATCTCCAAAAGACTCTCTAAGAACCCCTGAGATCTCGGATGAAATTAAAATCCAATCCAGATTTCTTCTTCCAATGAATGAGAAAAGTTCTTCCTTGGACTTTTCCTTGCCTTCAAAGAGCCTTCTATTCCTTTCCTTCCAAAGCTCCCTGCATACTGCAAAAGAAACACAAGACCAAGCAATTCCCACCTTATTGGAACCGAATCAAACTGGCCAGCATGCAAAAAAACATCCTTTGGGGATCTTGGATTCCCCCAAGCAACTCCAAAAAACCTGAAAATCAACAAAGTACTAAAAGATGGACATCTTCCTCAGCTTCACCAAACAAGTAGCATCTGTTAGCCACCAGAAACCCTCTCCTTTTTAAATGATCTTGAGCTAAAATGTTGTTCAAAGCAATCAGCCACGCAAAAGCTTTCACTGTAGGAGGAACTGGGTTCCCCCAAATACCTTTTATATTGGAACTTTCCACTTGATTTCTAGTTAATGACCTAACTGTGAACATCCATTTCTGCATTCCTTCCACCATCTTGCATAAACTCTATCAACCTCCAAATCCACCATTTGCAGCCTGTCCAAAAGCCTCCAACATTCCTCCACTCCCCAATCGAATGAAGGTCTTTGGAATGTTGAACACCAAACAACTCTATCTTGGACGATTTGGAAACATTGAGCAACCGAAATGTTCTTACTTGAATTGTAGTCTTAGGCATGCATCACAAAACCTTCCAATCCCCAACCACTAATCTTCCTAAAATCTTATTCATGCACGATCTCCCACTTTAAAAGAGACGCAATTTAGAAAGACTAACTGAAAGTTCATGATTCCTTTCCAAACACAAACTCCATGGGCAGACCTGACCTTCCTTGAATCTCACCCAAAACCCACCACCCCATACTTGCAAACAACTACCTTTCTCCACAAAGCCTCCCTCTCCTCCCCAAACTCCAAAGCCACTTTTCCAATAAAACTTTATAAAACACCCTACTTTTCTCCACAAAGGCTTGCTCTAAATCTAAGTGGTATTCACCTATCACAAAAAACTCCAGATGCGCCCCTCCATTTTGCCCATCCTGCTCTAATTCTATGGGTAGCATCCTTTTTTTTATCAGCAAAAGAGAACTTTATTTAAATTTAGGGTTAAATTAAAGTTTTACAGCTTGTGTTTGGGATTAATGCTCCCATCCTAGTACATATTTCTGTCCCACTTTACATTGCAGCCCAAAACAATTGTTGCCTCAAAGCCCCTTGTTTGGCAAGATAATCAGCTAGCCCATTTGCACTCCTTCTAACCCATTTGAATTCAGCTTCTACCTCCTTTGCAACATTTTCCACTTCCCTTATCACTTGTTTGAAAGTCCACGGGATATTTCTATTGTTTGTAGCCTAAGAGATGATCATCTTGGAATCCCCTTCAATCTCAATATGCCTAAGTCCTAGCTGCTTAGCTATCTTCAGCCCTTGTAGCAATGCCATTACCTCAGCTTTTAGAGAGTTGTCAATGCCAATCGGTCCAGAGAACAAAGCTAATATTCTCCTTTCAGAATTTCTGATTACTCCTCCAATACCTGACAGTCCCAGATTTCCAAGAGAGCTTCCATCAAAATTCAGTTTAATCCTATTGCCTTCTGGAGGTTTCCATTCCATCTTTACTTTCTTTTTCACTCTTGAGGATTGTGCTATTTCTGCCCAATATCTTAGAATGTCTGTGACTGAGAAGTCTTGGAAGATATGCAAGGATTTTACCCAATGAGCTACTTTAACTTTTATGGTGTTTATCACCTCCTCCACTATTCTACTCTTCTCCAAGAACATTCTGTTATTCCTTTCTTCCCAAATCACCCAACAAATAGCTGCCTTCGTAGCTTTCCACATGACCTTCCCTCTTTTCTTTGGTTGGCTCAAGAAGTCTCGATTGAAGAGTCCTACCACATCTTGAGGGGAAGCCCACCTGCAACCAAAGAGAGTACAAAAAAATTCCCAAATGTGATGCGTAAAGGAACAAGATAATAATAAATGTGCCAGGGACTCAACACTTTCTTTACAAAGGGAGCGCATGTGAGGAGAAAGGCAAACAAAAGGCCTTCTTCTCTGCAGCATATCACAAGTATTTACCTTGCCAAGGAAAATTTCCCAATAGAAAGCTTGAATTTTTGGGGGGATAGGCTTACTCCAAATTTCTTTTATAGGGAAATCCCCAACTAGGATGCTAGGCGAAGCAAGAACACTGAAAAAGGAAGAACAAGATAAGAGGCCACCTAAAGAGCCTTGCCAAATTCTGGAATCCTCCAAGGATGGGTCCAAGTGAACTTGTCCCATTAGATCCAGCAACTGAACTAAAGAGTCACATTCGTTTTCCCTGAGGCCCCTTCTGAAACCCAGATTCCAATTAACCCCATTTGGACCAGGTGTTCCCAAATTACATACGGTTTCCCCTTTAAGGTTTGACAAAATATAGAGGTCAGGAAAAAGATCTTTAAGTGGGATTTCTCCCACCCAAAGGTCTTCCTAGAAATGAACTTTATTGCCCTTTCCCACAAAATCGAATGGAGTTAAGGTAGGATAGCTTCATAAATTGCTTTCCAAGGAGAAGCTAAAGAAGCATGAGGGGCAACTTTTGCATCCCAACCATTTCCATCCAACCCATGAATGCTCTCAATGACTTTGTGCCACAGCCTGTCGCTTTCAAAAGGGAATCTCCAAAGCCGCTTTCCTAATAGAGCTGAGTTCCTAAGTGAAAGGTTTCCTATTCCCAAACCCCCTTGGTCCTTGGGCTTTCTAACTTGTTCCCAATTAATCAAGTGAACCTTCTTCTCCTCTCTTGGGTCCTAGAGGAAATCTCTCATGTATTTCTCTAAGCTCCTTGCTACCCTACAGGGTATTCTAATGGTTGAAAAGAAGCAAATAGGGAGGTTTTCCAAAGTAGCTCTAATCGAGGTTATCCTTTCACCTAGAGAGATATAATTCCTCTTCCACAGAGCTAGCTTCCTAGCAAATCTTTCAATGACTGGCTTTCAGAACCCTTCTGATCTAGGGTTTCCTCCTAAAGGTAGACCCTAGTAGCTAATTGGCCAACTTCTAATCTCACACCCCAAAATCTCAGTGGATCTATGGAGTTCCCCTTCCTCCAGATTAACCCCTACAATGCCAATTTTCGTCCAATTTATCCTTAGACCAGTCACCCCCACAAAGTTATCCAATAGCAACTTTAGGTTTACCACTCCTTCCTCATTGCCTCCCTCACAAAAAAAGATTGTGTCATCTACAAATTGAAGGTGGGTAACAACCACTTGATTCCTACCTATCCTTCACCCTCTAATCAGTCCTTGGAGATCAGCTTTCGCCACCTTTCTGCTTGACACTTCAGCCACTAAAGTGAAGAGAAAAGGGGATAAAGGATCTCCTTGCCTAATTCCTCTCTTAGCCAGAAAGAAATCCTTTGCTACACCATTAATAAGAATTGAGTAATGGACTGAACTTAAACATCCTCTAATCTAGGATCTCCATTTGGTTCCAAAACCCAACCTTTCTAGCATTTGTAGGAGAACTTCCCAGTTAACCAGATCATAAACTTTCTCTAGGTCCACTTTGCACACCAATCCTTTTCCTCTACCCTTTCTTTTTTCTACATCACACTCATTGGCTACTAAAATTTGATCCACAATCTGCCTTCCTTCCACAAAGGCACCTTGGAAAGGTGAGATGATCGAGGGTAGCACTTTCTTGATCCTTTTTGAGAAAACTTTTGAAATAATTTTGTATACACTCCCAATAAGGCTTATTGGCATATAATCTTTAGGAGTTTTAGCCTCCCTCTTTGGAATTAAAGTGATAAAAGTGGCATTCACCCCTCGAGACA